TACGTTAGCGTAAGAATAGGTATAGGCTTGTTATACGTAGGCTATATTTAATTTGCAATGCGAATTGAAATCCTTGTCCATGAAAATTTGTGATAAATTTTTAAAAGTGCATTAAAATTTGAAAATAAAACGAATCATCGCGGTATATCGACTTATACACACGACAAATTTTTGATTTTTTTAAATTACTGATAACGTTACCATTTTCACAGTTTATTCCAGTAAAACCTTGACTGCAGTTACATTGATAGCCGGCACGAAGATTTTTACATTTGCCATGTATGCAAGGATTCGAGAGGCATTCATTAGCGTCTGCAAGTTATCAATGTAAAAATAAGACATTGTCAATATAATTATCCACTGCTGATAAATAGATGTTTTCATGAGATTATAATATATTTTTATTGCCATATCGATGGCTTAAAAGATACTGGTCTCCTCGACGAGTTCGATTGTATTTCTTTTAATAAGCGTTATTTACTTACCCTGATTGCATAATTTTCCAGTAAAGCCAGCATTGCATCGGCAGTAATATCCATCATTTTGAGAAAGACAAGCTCCATAAATGCAAGGATTTGGATCACAAAAGTCTGACGACAATCATAATTTAATACTGACTTCAGTTATACTTACGCCCGTAATTTTTAAGGGATCACATCTACTTACAAATGATACTTATAAAGTGCATTACAGGGATTATGATATGAAATGACGATTAAGCATGCTACTTTGGCTGAAGTTCCGATAATATGCATGTGCAGGTATAATTAATTATAATCCTAAAGATTCTTTACCATATTTCGCTGTACAATATCTCTGGTTATAAACAGGTGGTGGTGGTAATTGATAGACGAAAAATTGATGACAATTTCTAATACGAATGGTGCGAGTCCATTGGCAATTATTGTTCAGCCAAACAAAGCAAACTTTGCCCGATATTATTCCTTGTGAGACTATTCACGTTGATGTAAAGATCAATATAATTACTAAATGATCATTGAATGTTTGATATTGCAGTAAAGATGAGCATTTGCTTAATAAGAAATTTAATACTGTCACATCAAATCAAATTGCTAAAAAATGATGCTTAAACATGAGAGTTAGACCGATATAGTATCAATCGTAAACTAATGTACGATTATATTAATATTTCGTAGAAATATTTTATTAACCTTCCGAATGGTTCCCTGTAAGCCATCCCGGCGATAATGCTCCACATTTGAGCATAGGAATAGGATATGTAACCATCATTTGACTAATTTTCCCCCCATTAAATCGATACCAAGTATTATTCATCAACGATTGCTCATTTGAAGTTAGATTTTTGACATTCCAATTAACTGCTCGTGATTCATCATCAATTTGGGTATATTTCGAACAAGGATCTGAATTGATGAAAAGGAAATTAGTATTACATCAGTGATACTGAATTTCTTTATTTGCAATAAGCAATCATTTACGAAAGATTAGAAAGAACAGCCCTTGCATTACCAAAACAGGATATATTATCATTGAGAAGGATGTTGCCTAGTTTACAAGCGCACTTATAGCTACCAAGAGTATTGACACAAACTTCTTTACACAGATTTGTTTCATTTTGGCATTCATTAATATCTAAAATATATATTATCAAACAACAGTTATCCACTAAAAACATAATATGACCATAAATTACTCATCATAATGGTCTACAGTTACCAATCGGATATATTTTACATTAAGATTACAAGCATATTGCGCTATCAAAAATTAGTAGCCTTACAGCATGTAGTAAAATATTAAATTGTAATGCTAGAATAAACGGAAAACAATTTAAAGTCAACAACAGCCTTACCATGTTGGCAATCGTATCCAGTAAAGCCTTGCTGGCATATACATCGGTAGCCGCTATCAAGATCGATACATCGGCCGTATTTGCAAGGATTGGAAAGACATTGATTTACGTCTTGTTACCCAAACAGGAAATGATAGAAATATAAAAATGACAATGCCAGCTTTTTAATTAATGCATATAGATAGGTAATATCATGGGTTTATTGATTATTAGTGATATTAAGAACATTGATATCCTGAGCTTAATTGACTACGTTACACTTAAAATTTATGCTACCATGCTGGCATAATTTTCCAGTAAATCCAGAATTGCAGCTGCAATAAAATCCGTCAGATTGAGAGAGGCAAGTGCCATTGAAGCAAGGGTTTGGATCGCAAAAGTCTATCAAGAAATAATAACGTTAAGGTAAATTTTCAGTCCGTCTCATTGCTTGAAAACAAATAATCTTTTATACTTATGTATTAGTGGACACATGTATGTTTCATATCAATGCTCATATTCACTGGACTTATTTTTATATATAAGTTAAATTAACCTAAAAACCTTTCATTCACCTTGTTTAGTTGTACAATATCTCTGATATTGTGCTAATGGCGGTGGTAACTGATAAACAAAATATTGATTACAATTTCTAATACGAATAGTTCGAGCCCAGCGGCAGTTTCTTTCAACCCATGTAAAGCACACTCTGTCTATCGTAATGCCTTGCGAAGCTAGCAATTTTAATATTATGTAACATATTATTAATCGAATGAATTTCGTGGTTATCAAAATAGGTATAATAGTAGATAAGTTAATAGATCGTTTTGCGTATTAACATAGTCTCTGTGCCTAAATTTAATTTATATGAAATAGAAATATCTTGTATACTTTGAGGATGATTGGTTGCTAACCATCCTGGTGAGATAGCTGCACATTGAAGCATTGAAACTGGGCGATTTGCCATCATCTGACTGTTATTGCCTCCATTAAATCGATACCAGGTATTATTTATCATGGCTTGGTCACTTAGAATTTGACTTTTATCCATATAATAAATTGATCTTGTTTTATCAGTAATTTGTGTATAATTTAAACAGGGATCTATGCGGTAAATAATAACACACCGATATTCAAAAAACAAACATTGCATAACTTTTGATAAATTAAAATGAGTCCAATTTCTAATTAAAATACCGTGACAGGATACATAGTCATTGAGAAGGATATTGCCTAATCTGCAACTGCATTTATAGCTCCCAAGTGTATTGATGCAAATTTCGTGGCATGCATTCGTTCCGTTTTTACATTCGTCAATATCTAGAATTATATATTAAATTCCAAAAATGAATTTACGAAGCTAATAAATCAATAAAAATCTTAATGGAGGTTCAGCAGGATCTGAATATAACGCATCTGTTTTCCATTTAAATGATAAAACGACGAGAATATTTAGCTTTTACGTATATGATTAATACATACATCATAATACTCGACTCTAACCTCGTTCACAATTCCGCCCTGTGTATCCACGATTGCATAAGCATTGATAGCTATCATTGTTCCTTAGGCATATTCCATTTATGCAAGGCTGGCGACTACATGAATCGAAATCTGTTCAAATATTAATAAATGTGTATAACTTTACAAATACGATTGGTATCCATATACAAAAGATTTTGATATAACTTAGTTATACGGGCAAAAATTAAGGGAGTTTGTAGCCTTTTATTCAAGTTACTCCTTTCTAACTTTGTTCACAATTCCGCCCTGTATATCCACGAGGACATAAGCATTGATAGCTATCATTATTCTTTAAGCATGTTCCATTTAGGCAAGGCAGGCGACTACATGGATCGAAATCTGTTCAAATATTAAAAAATAAGCATTACTTGGCTGAAATGATTAAATGTCCATATCGTAGGTATTGATATTTCTTGTTTGTTACTCATTTTAAATAGAACTACGTACCTTTCTCACAATTTTTACCAGTGAAATTTGTATGGCAATTACATGAGTAATCTTCTTTCTGTCTATTGCATGTTCCACTATTAAAGCATGGATTGGGATCACAACGATCTAGATATCATGGCAAAAAATAATTTCACGATTAAATCTCTGAGATCAAACTTTGAGGGTAAAATGTATGGGTCGTTATTTCATATACAGTAGTTTAAGGACCAGTTATAATTTCTAGTTTAATTTAACTATTGTAAGACTAGCATTTAATTTTCTATTTATGCAAGAATGTATGAAATTAATTCCATTTAGTATTTATAGCATGATTTAGTGCTTATTAAACCGTAGCGTTGTAGGCCATAAAAAATGCAAATAAAGACATCTGCTTGTGTCCAGAATATCCAAAATGCAATATAGTATAAACGTGAGGTAGGAACACTATTTTAAGCTGATCTTTAATTAATTATGGTGTTAAGGAAGCATTTTTTCATCTCCAGATTTTTTGTATGCCCGTATATGATCCGGCAGGGATCTGTATAGAAATAAACAACGTTTTGTTGATCTTTGATGTAGCAGTGGATGACTAATGAACATGAGAGAATTTCAAAGCATGGCTTAATATTGATTGATTGGTGCATTCCTTATAAAACTAAATAGAATATCGTGTAACTTTAACATAGCATGGAATGAAAGAACAGGCAAGGATTGCAAGGTGGTGAGTCATAACTTTGTTTGCTGCTACTACAAAACTCCACCTTGATGGAAGAGGTGGAGCGAGAATTCTATAGATCAAATCTCGATTGAGAACAACTTACTATAACAATTCTTGTCTACTTCCTGTGACGAAATTTAAATCACGTTTAACGTTTATGCAGGTGTCTACTGGCTCATTGCATAGCACGCGATGAAATGTAAATGTTGTATTAGTCATTTACCGTATTACAAAAGCTTCTACTTGGGAAAGGTTGTAGGTAGGGTGAGCAGTAACAGTAGGAGAAATCATAATCATTTCAATCCTGATTGAGCCAGTTCGTTTGGCAGAGCATTTTATGGAGATTCTACAGCAGAAGTTCAGCACATTAATGCTTGCTCATTGGTATTTGCATAGCTGGAAAAATATTGCCATAGATGTTTATCATTTATCCTGGCTCATTCTATCTATAGTAGTACTTAATTTTTACTAACGCATACTGTATTAGGAATAAAAATGATTTAAAGTGCGTATACTGGTTGAAAGGAGCGGCACCGTTCATATTATTTGCATTGCTCGAAGAATATTGGAATACGCAGCTGCTCGGCATTCGTCCTGGCTCATTCCATCTGCAGCAGTACTATGGCTTTACTAATGCACTGTGTGGATAAAAATGAAGTAAACTACGTATACTGATTGGATAGAGCGACACTTTTCATAGTATTTGCATAGTTGGATAAATGCTAGCATAGAAACTTATTATAGTTAATTGCAAAGTAATCGTTTAAATGAGTAAAAACATTATTTACACAAAGAAGTGGTACAAAATGCACTATATGCTACCGTACTACTGAAGAATTGCTTGATGATGATTGTAAATGTTACATTGTAATTATGTTATAGTCTCGACATATACGATCTATAGCATTGCAAAGAAAATTGATGCGACTTTGCTTGTAATGACTAGACAATTATTGAGCAAACAAGTTTGAGCTCTAGCTAATAGCAATTTATCGATCAATATTTTAGGCGAGAAAGGCGTACTATTCATTCATATAGGGATAATCGAGAGAACAGAACAATTTTCAGTATAAAAATCTCTTCCGCATGCGGTTTTAATAAGTTCTATTATTTCCATTTATACTCCTTACCTATCGATTATGCATCTAATAGTTATCATTATCCTTTGTATATTATCAATAATACAATTAAAGCATATAAAGTTAGCATATGATCGATCCATTGTAGCTTTTATAACACTATGAGGTAATTAGTGCTTACTTAATACAGCTATTTGTTGTATGTTTTGTTTTTATTTTGAATTTTTAAAGTATGCTGTAGCGTAGTTTTTTTGTAAAGTTATGTACTTTTGTAACTGAAAAATATCAGTAACATTTCGTCTAATCTATTATCGTTATAATGATTATCTCTTTGGAAACTTTTATTTCTTCTATAACGACTGTAGATACTTTAATGAGGCCTGACGAGGAAAATATGATTGAATCACGCATACAGGACGTCTATATGTGCCAGTAATTTGCGTATTGGATTTTATATAGGGGTACATACGAATCATACCGTCTAGGGGTGTTCATGATAGCTACAATGCAGCATGGATTACCGTAAATACACAGTATCTCAGGATATAATCTTTATGCAGTCAGTTTATAATAATAAGTTCGGTTTAACGATGACTTTCGATTAATTTACCACATACGCGCATTATTTGGTATAGACGGCTACAGTCGACCAGGGTAAGAATAAATCTTATTTACGTGTCTTTGGTACAGGTGTAGAAAACTAATGCAATCATTCATTTTATTCTCTATCAATGCTAGGCCTGTATCATAGACCACATATTGTCAATTCTTAGGATATCGTTTTTTTAACTATTTGATCAATCATCTAATTTATAAAACTAATCAGATAAATGTTATTAATTGCCACATGATTGATTTTCATTGATTTTACGCATAATATCATTTGAATATTAAATCTTCTTTCAGCTGTCAATTATATACTGTCCTATAATCGTAATTGCGATCAGATGAATTGTAATTCTTTTTTTTGCCAGCAGGATTTCATAAATTAATCTGTAAATAAATCTCTTAATGCCAAAGGAAATACTTGTATGCCTTAGATAATGTTTGTTAATTCAAGCTACAAATGAACTATCTTAAACAATATCAGGCTAAGTAGTCGATGTATGTAAAATTCTGGCAATAATTTAATCTGTATATGAATTATTTTAAATACTACTAGGATAAATATTCACTACATGCTCAAACAAGTCTCATGTGATATCCGATAATTCATTCCGTAGATCAAAAGTTTTAAGCCACATTAGGCTAAATATTCGTTGAGTAATACTTTTAAAAATATTGAAACAATCATAAAATTACTAGAATGAAAATGTCATTAGAATATTATTATCACTGAAAAAACTAAACAATTATTGCACTAATGAATACAATATGTAATTTTTAGACACTAAACCAAAGACTGCTGCTTATATCTTCTGGGCAGCAGGAAATCTTTAATAGAGAAATTTGACTGCAATTAGCTCAATATTTCATGTATGCAGGATAAAGTACTACAGAGGATTGCAACGTGTTACAAATCTGAATTGTAGCTTGCAAAAATTTAACTATCACAGACAACGATACGTAGCACTACGAATCTATGGTCAGGTTTTGTCCTATCCGATATTTACCCACGGTACGGTGCGATTCTAAATACTAACGATTTCCTATGGTTAACAAGAACAGCAATAGAAGTAGTATCTTCAAGACAAAATTGAACACGAACTTTATTAAGAATCCATTCAATGTTTAGTAAATTTACATAAGTATTAGCTTTCCTTACTTAAATAGTATTGTAACACTATGTGTCGCATAGCGTCTTAGACGATCGGCATTCTCAACAAATATCAAAACATCAAAATAAGATAAACATTTACATATTAAGAACACAATAAATAGGGTATACTGTAATTATAATCCTAGATAAAACAATTACACTTGCTGTTCTTGTTCTTATATCTAGGCATTTCCGTAGATAAAATTTCCAGTTTGATACACTATAATTACAATAATGAAAAAGGAAACAACTTATGATAAGTGAATTAATAATTGAAAATTTTGTTATGTACTATGCCTCACTCGATGAATTGCATGATAGTGTAAAAGGTTTACTTAGTGTGATAAAGGTGATTGACATAAATGAAAAGCTATTCTAATTGTCCTATTGGCATGATGTCTTTTAAATTCTTTATTACAATAACCGAGAGAATCCTAAACTATCTACTAATTACTAACATTCTACGAACAAAGTCTAGTAGTTAAGCAAGCGATTATCGACATATTAATTTATCTACACATAAATAAATTCACTATAATCGTATACGATATACATAACAAATTTCATATAATTAATCCAATCCTATCTTAATTTCATATTACCTTATTTGCAATAGCTTTACTCTAATAAAGGAAAAATGAAATAAGGCTGGAGTGACAGAGAGTCGGATACATTAGTAAAGGTAGATTTGATATATATCAGAGGAAAAAATACATGTATTGGTTAAAGAGTAACGACTGAATTTCATTGTATAAAATAATCATATAAGACTGAGTTATGTATCATACAAATTGCACGACCAAAAGAATGAAGATACTGTAAAAGTTCAAGAAGTTATGCTGCCAGGAACTTAAAAGTAAAGGTAGTATAAATTAAATCCTTTAAAATCATGTAAGTACTTACTCGATTTCACAGTTTTTTCCTATATATCCTGTAGAACACCGACAGTGGTAGCCAGATCTTGAAGTTACACACTTGCCACCATTGAAACAAAAGTTACGAGGACATTTAGCTGGAAAAAGAGAAATGAATTCAGTAATCATAAGACGTAAAATATTGTTTATGCTAGATTCACGCTGTCGTGATCTTAAAGTAGAAAATGTTCTAATTTATAGCGAAATCGGTACATCGAACTTTGATTACAAAATTGTAAATTGTATCAGTTACCGATTTAGAAGTAATGTTCAGAACTTATTTTAATTAAAAATTCTATGTAGAAATATTCTTATTTTACGCGTACATACAATGTGCGCGCATTATAATACGAGAGTTGTATCTTATTGAAATTTAAGCGGCAGGTAATAGTACTATTTAAATTGAAATTTTCTTGTTCCTTGCCAACTGTATTCTATCAATGCAATCACTTAAGTTTAAGCGTAATACTGCAGAATAGGTAGTGCAGTTGCATATTGAACTAAAGTTTAAGAACCATGAGTATCACAAGTACCGATTCTTATAGCGATCCTTGTTAACAGTGAAGGAGAGATGCTTATGAATCGATTAGCGATAAGATGCTAGATTATTTACTTGATTCACAATTTCTTCCATAGTATCCTGCTTTACATTGACAGGCGTATCCAGTGGGACCAGAAATACATTTGCCATTTCGGCAAGGATTGGATGAACATTTGTCTATGGATTGATTGTTAGCATTTTATTAAAGAAAACAGATCATTTGACGTTCAAATTTTAAGTACTGTACGATTTTAAATTGGAAAAATTTAATTAACTAATGGTTTAGCATGATTAAAATAATTTAATAATTAGATCCTAATACAAATGTATTAATCGTCGTTCTTAAATTTGGTTTATCAATCTATATACAAGTCATAGCGATACCTGCTTGCTTCAGTAAATAGGCCCCGATACCACAAGGTTTAGAAGAAGAAGTAGGTAGACGATAAACAAAGAAGTTGTTACAACGCTTAACTTGTATATTTGTAGTCTCATAGCATAGACAGTCAAATTGGCCTGAACAAGTGGTTCTGTTGACAATACCGTCCGATGCTAGTAATATCGAGAATTTTTAGGGTGGAATTACGTCGTGCAATAGAGAGAGAGAAAAAGTTAACTATTATGAAGCATAGGCAATCATTCAAAAACATTGAAGTAAAGATCTGATAGTATGACCATCTGTAATGATACTAATTTCTAGTTTTTAAATCTGATTTTTACTTTCATTAGTAATAATAACGTATAAATCAGTGTATACTAGGTGGCTAATTTTGAATAACTTTAAAGAACTTTATAAACAATCTAAAGGGAAAGCAATCAATCCTAAAAATTCTAGCTACAATTTTGATTAATCTTTTGTGTTGTGAAGTACTGGTGGTAACATGCCAATGCTAGTAGTTAGTAATTTTAAATATTCTATAAATGATCCAATGGCTAAAAAATCCTTCTTAAAATAATTTATTGTACATCTAATCAATTTTTTTCCTACTCTATCAGCAAAGTCTGCCAGATGATACCAGTAGCGTACATTGGATCAAATTGATAAGTTTAATATACAGTACTACGTAAACGATCTAATAGGCGAAATAATCAATGATAAATTTAATGAACTACAATACACATTGGATTACTAGTTTTCTTATAGGTCGCATTGTGTAGAAAGGTTGTATACTGGCATTTGAGCTGATATCATACCCTTTGGAAGGTGGCCTTTCATCGCAATTGTTGGAGCTAATAAGAAACGTTTATACCTTCTTCTGAAATCAGAACATGTTGCAATCATGGAGCTTGTATTCTGAACTACAAACCGGTACCAATCCTTTTCTGACCCCCTATTGCATCGCGGTGAAGGAATATAAGATTCCATACTGCTCACAACTCGATGATTCTTGCAAGCGTCTAGCAGTAGACAAGAAATGAACAAAAGGTGTATAAAATGATCAGTATCTTTTGCATGATTCTTGTGAGAGGTTACAATATAGATACAATAAGCTTTTAATAATTAATTAGTGCAGGCTGCGATAGCATCTTTGCCTTTTATTACTTAAGTTTAGAATAAATACAAGAATATTACTTAATTATAACTTACCTATTGCTTGCGATGATGTAAAAAGAATACTTAAAATCTACAGAGGCAATTGAAAAATGATAAGGAAGTTTTAAAATACTTATAGATTAGGTAACGACTACGCTAGTTTTATCCCATATTTTCAAGAGATAGACGTACTATTGCAGCATTTCTATGATAACTTATTTATTTCATTCTTACTGTAATAGTGCTTGAAGAATGTTATATAGTTGATTATTTTATTGTTACAAAATTATAGCTTACCACAAATAGTAGCATTGACATGATCTGCGGCATAAATCCAAAGGCACAGTGTTGGTATAATAGAATAAGCTACACCTATATTGAATTTATATAAAATGACGATCAACGATGAGCTCTTAATGTAAGTCTGTTGGTAACTGTAGAACACTTCATCCTTTTATAATCTCAGACCTTACAGCTCATGAAACAGTGCAATGGGCAATTGTTTATTTGTGTTACTCGCGAATGACAGAGTATTGTAAACTATCAATAAGAATAGTTCATTGTGTAACTTTACAAAATTAATACGCTAGATATAAGAGTTACTAGTATGGGGCCGTCTAGAAGATGAAGGAATTTAATACCCTTACAGTGAAGGGGAAATAAAGATCCTAGCTGGCTCAATAGGGAGTCGTGATGATCTTCTTGTTGATGTAAAAATTTTGATAGAGCGGCATGGCTACTGTAATTTTAGTGTGAATTTATTTGAATTTCCCTCCACAAAATACCTGCCATCACATATTGACGAATATTATGATGTTCTCGGCAAAATAATGTTCTATACTGACGTAATGAAGTTTCCTACGCTCGTATATTTATCTTGTTATGCCAGAGTTTAATTAACGATGAAGGCCTAATATACGGTAGGATGTAATTTTTTATTAAAGTGTTACTATAATTAATTATCGTATTTCTACAAGTGAAACATTAACTTGAATAGATTTCAGCATAGGTTAATTTGAAATTAAATCTGATTTGTTACAGTAAAATTTATATTGTTTCAATCTTTTTGACTTCTTGTTCTATAATTATAATTACCAGTAACAACAATCTTGTGGTCTGACCTGTTTATAAATCATCAATTTACCAAATTATATAGCCTTCACTATACGAACTCCATAATCCATAAATCTAGAGTAATTTGACTCATATCGAACCTCATACTGCGATTAATTTTAGTTATCCGTATAATAAATACATGGTCATTTCACCACATGGAGCGATTTATTATAAAATACTGTTTATTTTCATGAGGTCATAATGCAAATGACTATAAATTCATAGACATGTAGATATAAAAATAAGTTATCCCCTTACACGTATAGAGTATTAGCAGCGTGAAATTCAGTATATTGTAAACTATAGTTCTAGAACTGTCTACCGTTCTGAACAATTTTAGAGCATTTAAAGCACAGCTGCAACACAAAAATGCATATAGTACCGATTTATATGTGAGTCTCGGAGTATCTAAGATATAGTTTACTAATACAGTATGGCATGATTTACAAGTGCAAAATTTCACGTACTTCTTTGACTACGTGAGTAATAAAAGAGAGAGAACGGTATGTATTGCCCGTTTATACTAATATACACATTTCAGTGTTGCAATATAATTACATATACAAACGGAAATAGCATAATTAACCGCAATAATGAGAATTTATTGTATTTGTTAAGATTACACGTATGCAAAATCAAAAATTAAATTTACCTATATGTTCTACTAATCAGAACACTTTAAGTACAGCAACAGGAGTGCATTCTACAAATTGCTAATAATAGGATTAATTCATGTGCATATCATATTGTAAACTCAGAGCGAAGTGACAGTGATAATGTAAAGTAAAGCCTACAAGTACATACAGTCAGGGACTTCTATGAGGAAAACACGACTGGATATCGCTCTCCAATGTAGTAAATATAAAGGCCATCTCTTTAACTCAGTACATAGCGATGTAAAAGTGATGTAAATCTGATTCTAGGCTGCTGTTAGTACCATGACATAAGATGAGAAATATGATTTCAAAAACAATTCTCGATCAACTCCTAGTATACAGCTGGCGACCATATTTTAGATTACTCAAATTACTGCAGTTAAACACATCGACTTGCTTCCTTGTCTCTTATTAGATATATATTATACTACGCTTTACCTGTGTCCAATCTTTCAAAAATAAAACCAATTCGAATAGAAGAGTTATTCCAAAGATCATGAATCAAGATTCGATATCAACCATGATAAGTAAGAATAAATGTATCGATACGCGTATTATGACCTTTGCTTATGAAGAAGTGATCTCATTTCAAAATCACAGCTGTCAATATAAATGGAAAATAAATCTTCTATTTTAAACTTTACTTTAACGGCTCAGCGTATAAACTATTAAATATCGGTGAGTAACGTAATCAATATAGCCTATGACATAATAAAGATATCGGTTTTAACTTTGAATTTGACTCAAAGACGACTATAATATTGTCAAAGACTACACTAGTAATACCAGATAAGAATAAATCTCTTTTATGTGTTTTTGATATCTGTAGAGAGAAACTGCAACTCAATTTTTCCTTTATAAGCCCTAGAGCTAGTGTTGAAGACAAAATTGTCAATTCTAATGATATTATTCTCCTAATTATTTGATCAACTATCTAATAAAAATAGGCAGATGAATGCTATTAATTGCTATGTCGACTGATCTTTATTCATTGTGTGCGTAATGTCATTTGAGTATTGACTATTCTCGGCTGCCAATTTCATTCTATCTTATTACTGTAATTGTAATAAAATTAATTATTAATTCTATTTTCTCTAGCACTATTGAATAAATTATTCTGCAAATAATACTTTCAATATCAAAAGAGCTATCTGTAAGTTCAAGTCTTAGGTATTATCCGATATTCAAGAGTAAATAAATTGTCTTAAGCAACATTAGGCTAAGTAATCGCTTTATCAATACTATTAAAATGTTGAATGAATCGCAAGATTACTAAAATGAAAGAAAATTAGAATATTACCATTAAGAAAATAGAAGATTGTTGGGCTCATGAGCTCAAAATGCAATTTTTAGACGCTTGCTATGGCAAAGACTGCAGCTTACGTCTTTAGAGCAGTAAGATAATTTTTAATGTAGAAATTTTGCTACAATTAACTCTACGTTTCATGTATTCGTACATGATAAAGTGCTAAAGAGGATTACATTGCCTATTTAATGACAAATAATTGAAATGTATAAATACCTGCTATAAGAAGGAATTTATATATAGTTTAATAATATTGCCGTCAATTTTATTCGATGTAATGTGTTGTGCAGTATACGTTCCCGTTCATTTGTACAGGTACTATACTAGTAACTGTAATAGCTGCCACATTCTTGAACTGAAACATCGTCTCCAATGGATTTCATCATGTAATAGTTTGAAATTAAATCTAAATCGGTGAAAGTAAAATTTACATTACTGCAGCACAGTCAACTTTATTTTTCTATATTCAAAATTACCAGCAATAACCTTTTGGCCTGGCATGCTTATTAATCATCAAGTTACCCATTATTTAGTATTTACGGTACAAACCCTACAATCCGTAAATTTAGAGTATTTTGACTGATTTCATATCGCATACTACGAATTATTTTTTAGTCAATGGTATAATAAAAGTATGGTCACTTTACCACATGAGATGATTCTATCCTAGTGTACTGTTTATTTCTATAAGATCATTAATACAAATAATTATAAAGTCATACGTATATAAAAATAACTATTCCCGTAAACTTGATAGGGGTACTACACGACAGGATATGTTTTGAATATTGTAGGTTGCACTAAGTTATACGTTACCAGAAGATCTATAATCAAATTGTTAATGTATTTGATTATGATTAATATTGATGAAAATATTTCTACCACGGGCGAAAAATTTAAGGGATTAGCATACGAGTATACGACTATAGAAGTATAGTTAGAGTCTTTATTCTTAGGATTTTGTGTATCAACTATCTACAGTTATTTACCGTTTTTAAGGCTTACAATACTCTCTGCAAGTAGAAAGACAGTAAAATTTACAAGTAATCTAAATCCGTCTTCAATTTATCATTGATTTTTGCTCTCATTAATGATTTAAAGTGACAACTATTATTCAAGCGACATCTACGATCTCAACGTGCTCGTAAGCTCATTCTATATCTTCAATATATATGAAATAACAATCTTAAACACTTCATGCTACGATACTCTTCGCATAGGCTAACTGTCGCGTAATCGAACTTCTACTGAATGGTTTGATGAAGCAGCGCTACAGAAACTTGGTCATTTGCTAATACTATAAATAAATGGAAGAATATTGTAAATATGCAATCTAATAAGCAACATAACAAAGACTGCATTGTGTAACGTTGTGAAATCGATACTTTAAATATCTGATTTATAAATTTGTCTAATGGATAATGGAAATGAACACAATTACAGTAATCTCAGTTAATGGGGAATGAGAAACCTCGATAAAGTCCTCTGAATATAATAAATATCGTCAAAAAGGCGTAACATTCAATCTATGTAAATTGATTATGTTTATATTTCCCTCCACAATACGTGTATACCACATATACCCACAATTATATATAGGGGAGTGCTATCACATCATTCATACAGTTTTTCTACTACCGTTTACGAAGTAATTTCACCATAGCAGTGTAGCGATTTCAGCTAATTACAGTAGTTTTGTTAGGGCTAACAACCCATACACTACAAGTGGACACAGCTACCTTTTACTATTTGTATTTATTTATTTTATCCTCGTACCGTGATTCTCTAGGCAATATCAATCAACATAAATAATGAGATCTGAGTCGCAAGCACCGTAGGTTCATTCTACCAGTTATTTCTACAAAAGACAATTATGCTGTTACTGCAACTTCAATTTGATCAAGACAATTATAGCGGCTTTTCAAAGAATTATGTACACCATCATCGAATGCTATTAATTTAATATGTGTATTCGAACAAGAAATACCAATAGTATGGTGCTGGTCAAAGCTATTTCTCAGAATATGCTTTCGCTGCAGTTTGGAGTGAACAATGATCTTACAGCGATAAAACAGCCTAGTCTTCAGCCGCGTACCTCATAACTTGAGACTAAGACTATGATTCTGAAGTCATTATTGAAATATTGCATTGATCAGTTAATGAATAAAAAATTGAGATATAGTAAATGTGGAATTTTTTAATTATTTCTCATTAGATTATAGGTGCTTCTTTACACCTATGTAAGCCATAGGTAACTGTAGTGCAGTGAGTTTAGTACTTGGATTAAATTCTTAGTTAAGTATGGAATTACTTATATGCTTCACCACAGGCTATAATACTTGCGTAGTTCAATGCGATTAATTGCTCATGACCCGGTAAAATATGATAATTCAATGCCCGTGCTGAGCGCATAGAAGCGTGATAATGTTACTAAATAGGTGATAGGCTAGGATTTATAAGCGTATGCAACGAGTAGATCTGGAAGTCTTCTTATTCATAGTTTGTTGTGAAAATAGTTACGGTTAGTTTTATTGTAATGAAGCTTAATTCGGGTTTTAAATTCAAATAGTCTGATTTATTGAAGACCCTTAAGAATTGACCTTACTACAGCAATGTATTAATTAAAGCTATACTACATAATATTACTTTAGCCGTGAGTTTTTAAGTCTTACAACCATATATGCAAATTATGTATTAGTACTGTAAGTCAAGCAAGACCAAGTCCATTTACAATTTTAACATTCATGTATTACGGCCCCCGTTGAAACCTATCTTGGCATTGAATTAACCTTCTACTGATAGAGCTGATTTTCTAGCTTAATGGTGCAATGTGCAATTTATTTTCAAGGAATTGATATGTAGATTATTGTCATTGGAAAATATATGCAGTATGACCATCCGCTGAGATTTCGACATTTCCAATCCACTTATTTGGTGTCGATATTTGAAGTAGAACTTGCGATGTTTCATAGTCCTTAATCTTTTAAAGCAATATGTACTGTTATTAAGGCATTTCATTGCTTTTATTTTATAACATCTACATCCAAGCCAAATAACAAAGTCATTGAACATTTCTATATTCATCAATATAGCACTTCTGGAGTAAATATTAGAAAGGCTTTAATTTATCAGTGGTATGATAAGCAATTTAACTAATTTACAAGATATCTTTTCTCATCTGTTAATTAAATTTTACATGATTCGTTAATGTATTACTCATAAAATAATACAGTTTAGGAGCATCGAGTTATCATGTTATAGGTTATTTAATAGTAGGATGAATTGATTTAATTCAATCATTACATAAATGTAGTGTATTTAGTTTTCACTATAGTCTTTAGATATGTTCTTAAATATGGATATTTTCTTCTGTTCCGAATATAGATACCTTTACAGTCTATTTCAACTATGCTCAAATATAGCTTGTCATGTTTAGTTATTTATAGCATCTACAGTCTTAGTCCATTCTTTGGCTAACTCATTGAACTTTGGACGACCAGTTTTGAAGATATTAGCGATCTCTGGTGCTAACGGATTGCCAGGATTTGGCGTAGAAAGCAAAGAACAGATGCTCGAAAGTACTAGACCACATTTAATAAAGGTTAGTAATAAACAGGCCTTATCAACGAGTAGATCTTTGAATATAAGTACTCTTCCAATAGATATATTTAATTCTGGACTTCACAGTGAACGAAGGATATCTAAGCATATACTTCCATTGCTGTTTATATTTGGGTGATATATTCTCGTGACGAAGGTAACCTACAGTATATATGGAATCAGTTAGCTACGATGCATTTCACAACCGAGTAATTTACATTGTCAACATAAAAGGCATACTTTGGGAGGCTTAAACGGATAATCCGGTGGAAACTGGATAGTTAAAAAGAAAGCGCCCCCTTGGTACGGGGTGTCTGTCTAAGGGGTTTAGAGTTTTAGAATACATTGAGTTAAGAAATAATTTTAAGAAGAATAAAAAAGATTTTTTAACTTACTGATCCCATTATAGTGCTTTGCCACTTAAACACTATTTATATCAAAATTGAATAAAGCCTTTAAAATAAACTTTATACTATGATTAGTTCAATTTTGCATTTTATGAACCCTATTAGTAACTTAATATCATTAGTATCAACTGGCCCGGCAGAGCACTGAGCTGGTTGTTCACGACCCAAATCTTGAGTTCCTAGCGAAGTAAATCACAATCATGCTATTAGGATTGCTGTTACTCTATATTTCAAAATCAAATATTACCTTAAATTGGGTATCACCTTAACAACAACATTACTGTTAAACTTTGAGAAATAATTACAGAAACGCTTCAATCTATTGCTCAATTACTACAAAAAACCTCCCACGATTGGCTACTTTGGGTTATATAGTATCAGAAACATTTCTATACGCCATCTATATTACTCGATTAAGTAATATTTATCATGTATTTAGCGGAATAAAATCGAGCAGGAAAAGCTCAGTAAGTTAGCATTTCGCGTAAGTTTCATATAATGATCCCTTCGCCAGTGAATAAAAGTAAAGCAATTGTAAAATTGTCTTCCATAAAGAATATTTCAAAAAGTATTGTATAAGTCGGCGGATCCTTTAATGTGCCATATGATAAATTAAGAATATAGAAAATTGCAAATCTTTTGCAATAGATAGATACTGTAGTGCAAAGATACACGTATATCACAAAGCAAACAATGATAGGATAACAGAACTGAAAAGATCTAGCTCTGCCCTTTATTTATTATTGTTTTACTCGTATTCTTAGATTTCAAGCCAAATTTGAAAATCCAACATTGAGCTATATTTAAGGCTACAATATTAGTCTTAAGCTGATTTAGGGCTGCACAACATTTACAAATAGTACAACGCATTTCTATTCAAGGCTAGCTGGTGAACGTGCATTGGAATGAAGGATTTCGACGATGGCAGCATATTTTCGGTAAAGGATGTTGCAGACTGCAAAATTCGATATTGATAAATGAAATTTCATTGTAGAGTACACGCTCATATACTCAATACTACATTTGTTATTCGCTAAGATTGGACTAAATTCAGCACTAAAAATTGAATTGAACTCCAAATAGCAGACGATTAACAATCGCAGTGAGAGAAATTTACGATATCGACAAGAATAAATTCGTATCTTGACAGTACTATGAAATGAACTTTTAAGAGAAATTTCTCTAAAAACAGTACTAGGTCTTGAGATATATATAACGTAATTCTGTCACTATTCAGCTTACCCTTTAGCAATTTCATGGACTTCTACTAGAAGATTAGTACAGTAGAAAGTTTTTTTCTAGATTTCTATTAAGGTTTTCTTAATATTGCTTGCCACCGACCAGAATTGCAATAAATGAATTGCAACGCATTAACTTTGTTGTTAAATTGTTGGCGATAGTACTATAGATCGTAAATTAACTACTTCAATTGTATTGCGAAAGAATAGATCGAATTTTTCTACTTATAGTATAGCAAATATGCAGAAATGTTCAAATAGAAAATATCTAGTCAATATTATATACTGAAGGAAGTGAATCGGGTATAATATCATAAAATTGTCAAAAAATATTCTGATCTTTTTTACGCATTTCTCAATATCAAAGTATCGTCGAAAAATAATAGAATTATACCTATTCTTACGCGATGCCATTACATTATTTAATTTTTAGATTACACCACAATGCTATCACCCACAATTGAACAAGAAAATTGATATTTTATAACCCATTTTCGTTCAATTCCGGCTAAACTAAATTTAAAGGGAGGAGGGTAGAGTTATTACAGTTTGACATAAGCGAACTAAAATTTATTTCAATAGGCCATCATAGTATCTGGGATGATCCCTATTTTAAGCAAATCTTCTGTAGAGGGAGTTAAATAAGACTGATAACCTATATTAATGCAATTTTAAACCCAAAATAATATCGTTATACTGTTTAGTCTTGGATTTTGGCTAGCCAAGTCAGTGGCATACCCATAGTCCAGAAATACGGGAACTCAGGTATCGTATAATACAACCACTGTAAAGTACTATACACAAACTCTTAATATAATATTATATAGATTAATGTTGGCATCGATGTACCATGTAAGTTATTAATGAAATTAGCCCAATAGTGCGATAATTTACTTACTTTAGTGATTCTTTTCAACGCCATAGTCGCAGAATATGTTTACCAGCAGTTTCTTAGGATTAGAGCCTCCACGATTCTGTATGCATGAAATTTGAGCCAACGTCTCTGCTGACAACCTATAAAGTACGATGGTATCAGTTAAAGTAATAAGTCAGGTAATTATCAGAAATTACTCGCTACAATTCCGCAAGGACAGGAAACGACTTTTCCGCTACAAAAATATGACGGCCAATTATTTTTCCGGTCATTTTAATTTTATACAGCGCGTTAGGAATTGTACATGATACAATAGGGGGTCTCTCTCTTTTTCTTTACCATTCCCCTTGAGGATCATTCCTTAGGAGCTTTTGAACTTAATAGAAACAGAGACTTCTCTTTCTTTGTAGTACTTTTTATGTTTCCTAGCAGATCCCCATTCTTTGTACTAGTAAAGTTCCTGCTTCAAAAGAACGCGTATTTATTCTACACAAAGAAAGTCGTTAAAAGGAAATTCACTGCTAGATTATTTCTTATTACAGTATATATGCTTACTACGTAGCTGTTAAAGCGAACATTCATTTGTTATTAATATAGGATTAGCCCCCGGTCCCGTTCTTTTTATTTTAAGGGTAACAATTCGCACGTATGTTTTTGAATGAGGGAAATTAGAGACTACTTGGAAAGAGAGTCGCATGGTATATCGATTTTTTTCAACGTGATAAATCGTAGCTTATCCTAAAAGAAAACTCAGTAGTTGTGTTTTTTTTTCTAATTGGACAAGAAAGTCGTGATTACAATAAGGCACTGGAGATATTAGGAAATCGTTTTATAAATGCGCGTAAGAGATCACCGCTGTATTTTGTACTTTCAGTCTTCCCTCTCAGAGTTATTAATTTCGATTTTTGACTGGACACCTTATAATCTTTGATATTCAAGCTTGGGAGGAAATGATGTAGATAGTGCCAAAAGATTCAAAATATTTCTAAATTTAGAGATTCGATGCGTGCGAGTAAGTTGACTCTTAAAGATAGTCGATCATCGCGTCATGTAGAAAGCAGGAGCTGAATATCAAGCTGAATAAAATTAAATTACCTTAATACTGAGTCATGGAGTTTAGTACTCGAATTTTGAGTAATTGGTTTCATACGTTGTTTATACTATGCTAAAAAATAGAATAAATCATTTCCTGCATCCTGTGTTTTACTGATACGAGAGCATTGATAGGAATATGCTTGGATTATTCAATTTTTTCTTACAGCTCAGCCTTGGATTATTTCTCTCGAGTTTACTATGCAAATGTAAAGCGCTAATACTTTCATTGGTTTCCACCAATTAAACGGCTAACAATTGCTTTAGTCACACTGTGCCATAATCTATCGAACAACTTTATAGAGTAAACCCTACTAAATACAGCTATTTAAGCTGCTAGTTGAATTAGTCAATACCGGGAAACCTTAGTAGTATAATTAAGCGATGTAAATGAGAAACACAGATCAACTTATTAATGAAGACCAATCCTATCGATATTATGGACTTCACCTCAAATTTTGTTGGTCAGTAGTAATATTTCGTAGCAAATAACGTACAGTACATTAATTTCATTTCTGAACTAATTAGGAGTGACATTAACTAGCTATAGCTTATACGTAATACCCGTTTGAGCAAGTCAGTATGACCATTAGAACTAATTGGGTATATGGCTAACACCCATACTCTGACCGACTGTCATTGAACAAAATAGCACCAGCTGACTCATCTATCTGACGTATTCCATGCTAACAACGCCTCAAGTCAGTTACATGTAACAAAAAAGTGCTTCTCTCTTACTTTTATCAAAAAGTAAGAGAGAAGGCCTCAACGAGGCGTTGCTTGAAGGCCTTACTATGGCAACTTGATGATCGTATATTGTTTCTGTGTTATTGTCTACAGTAGACTGTCTCTATCTATTATATTACGCACCGAATAGCCTATGGTTAGGATGGAACCACATGTTGAGTCAATATTCGTTTACTTCATGCTCTAGCTATTACAAAATCGGCGACAACATTGAGGCAATAAGTTACAGGAATTTCATTATTATAACGCATGTATTAATAAAATAATAGCCATGTTTACAATGTAGTGTATTATAAAATGCTGTACTTTACAATAGTTTGTACAGTATAGTCTGTGTACACTGCTCAATATGGTATATGCTTAGTATGGTGCTTAGTGCTTACTTTCTAGTATTGCTTGATTAGTAAAGACTTTGAAAGAAAGAGAGAAGAACTTTTCTGTTGCATGTCTCTGACTTGAAGCATTGTTAGTATTGAATATTTCAGATAGATGAGTGAACTCTTTCATTCAATACTATACAATCAAATACTCTGTGAATCAGTAGAAGAAAACACTGAGATAGAGGCAACTATGCGATATAGCTCCTCTATTAAATTTGGATTAGGATGAATATTATTCACGCTACAACACTCGATGACTTTAGTGAGATCGTCTGTTTATTCTAAGAATTAAGGGATTTCGCCAGTATCAGCGGATGGCGCTTGGAAATGGCATAGGAAATTAAAATTAAATCTCTACCAGGGATATATGCACCTCCTAAAGGAAGACTGTTCTTGGTTTCCGATGATGGGAATGCTGCAGGATGTGTTGGACTGGCAGAATTGGAACCTGGTATTTGTGAATTAAAGCATCCATATGTACGATCGAAATTTCGAGGGAAAAAATTAGGAAGAAAATTAGTTGAAACAGCTATTCAGGAAGCACGAAGTATTGGTTACACACAGATGAGACTGAGTACTCGAGAAATGTTGAAAGCAGCCACATCCCTTTACAGATCGTTAGGTTTTAAGCAAACCCGCCGCTATATTTACAAGTACGATCCTGCTATTGAATTTGTTGACTTAGAACTGGACTTAACGCGATGATTCAATCCAGTCAATCAGATACTAGAATTGTAATGATGTTGTGTTATTATGTAGGTTGTAATACTGTTGTCAATGTTAACGAGCTAATAATAACATGTACAAATATGGTCATGTTGGTAGAACAAAGGATGTTCCTGTTTATGTTTCGTAGGGAGCCACAGTAATAGCAGAATTTCGTTCTTCTACTGAGTCTAGTAAGTAGTTAAGGTAATGTTATAGAGGTTGTCTTTCGTGCTTGAGATTATAGCCTGCAGTTGAAGACTGCTGTAACGAGAACTCCGTAATAAAATGTTTTAAACCGAATTGTCTGCGATTAGAATTATTGCAGAGTTAGAAAGAGCTGATTCGTTACCGCAATCTCATCATTATAGCGCATGTGTTAACGCCTTTCTAATTCGTCATGAATTCTATGACAATTGCCTATCGAAAGCTGCCGGCTATATATCTTACGGTAGACCAATTGCCGATATACTACTGTTGCTGGCTCAAATAGTAAATTTACCTAGAGATACAAGGGTATGTAACAGAATTGGCGAACGCTACTTTAAATTCCAAGGTAAGCCAATTGCCGATATGCTACTATTCCTGGTCTTCAAATAGTAGATTTACCTAGTAATACAAGAATATTTACTAGAATTGGCGAACGCTGTTGTACCTTTCATTAGACCAATTGTCATTATGCTATTATTTCTGCTAAAGATATGCAGCTGAATAGGCAACGTTGCTGTAACATCTGGGGTAGACCAGTTGCCAATGTGTTACTATAGCTGGTCTTCAAATAAGAGGTTTACCTAGTAATGCAAAGATATGCTACAGAATTGGCGAACGCTTCTTTAGTGATATTTGAGTGGTGAAATGAATTTGCATTAAACGTTACATTAAATATTGTCTACAACTTAATATGAAATACAAGGAGATTGAAATTCTACTATAGATATGTCACGCACCACTAGTAACAAAGTAAGTCTACACACGCCACCGCTAATGAAAAACGCCTTCTACTGACTTGAAGAGACGAGATTAGCTATATCACCAAATAGATCAGTTCCAACAAACGAATACTATACTATAGTTATAGCGTCACTGATAGTATAGACGAGGTAGTCAGAGAATTGCTACTATTTACTACTTAAGAAATCTTGACAATCAAGATTATAGCCTTGACAATTCAATAGCAATTGACAAACTAGTTGACTGACTAACTAACTAAAAAGTGGTTTTTAGTCACTAGTTTCCAATCAGTTTAATATTGATGGCTATTTCTTCAGCTTAATTCTCTATTCTTTATTGTACTAATTTTTGTTGGTCCATAGTTCTCTTACTGTGCTTATCCAACAGTATGTAAATGGAAAGAAGTAATAAAGAATTGTAATCTCTAAATAGGACATAACAGCATTTGCGATGATCTCTAAACCAATTTTCTATATTATCGATCTTCGATAAACTTTGGAGATTGATGACAAGATGACTAACTTATGAATATTTCTTGATAAAGAGGCAAGCAGAAATAGTAAGTTTAGAGTTAATTACTTTCTATTCACTAGTCTATCATGATTCTACTCAGGTCTCGAGAAGATTTAATTATACTTGTAATATTTCTAAGATTTGTAATGACCATAATTAAAGGATTAATTCCTAGTAAAGCCGCGTTAGAAGTATTTAAGTATCGCTAATTAATAACTTTTCCCTTATACCTAATTTTTATGGAGGTAAAATCTTTTTAACTTTCCTTCAAAATTTGTATAATAAAAATTATCAATGCTTTTACCGTAGATTAATTTTATTATATTATTACCTTAGTTTTTACCTATGAATTGATTACTTTAATCATCGCAATAACAAGAATACATATGCACTGTTGTATATTACCATCTAGAGCGAATACTAATAACTGTATTGAAAGCTTGTACTACTCTCACTTAGCATAGAGACAAGAAATTGAACACGTAGTTGAAGTTATTGTAAAACTAGCTACTAACTCTGCTCTCTCTTTATTGTATTGAAAAGTGGCGGCTTATATACGTACGCCGTTGACACTTACAACGCATTATAATCACAAGTTTGTGTAACAGTGAATTCGCTAGTGTACGCAGTATAATCCACCATTAACACGTAGAATTAACAAGTGTAGTATGTTACATTTGTAGAATACTATAATTATTCAATGACAAGTATAATTATTTATTTAACCTGTGACAATAGCAAGTTGCAACGTAATAACTTTAGGTATTATCGAATTAGCGTAAACACAAAAGCAATCTTAACCGTACTATTACTGACTGACACTATATATACAGTATTACATCGTACAATTTTACAAATATAGCGTAGTATATAATATGCACTATATTAGCATGCTGCATAATAGGCTTCTTTTGCTAGTCCACGGCTATACTTACGGTAACATAACAAACTAAGAAATCGTCATTTTTTCGTTTTCATTTGTAAGAAGTGTTTCGTAGCTGTAACACATAGCTGGACTATTTTATGTACATAATTTTGATAAAAAATTTTAAAATAATCAGCTTATATCATTACTTTAAAGTTAAAAGAGTCATTCGATGTCAATGATCTTTAAAATTAGTTACATATATTTTAGAGGTCTAAGGTAGTGTTCGCTTGATTTTCTACCATTTGGCCAATATTGCAGATACCTTCAACTTTGCAATCTTTAAGTACGAAACATAACTTGGAGAAACTCAACATCGTTTGTCGTTCGCAATATTCGAATAAACTCGAATATCTCCTCACTATTACGGTAATAATTCTTTGTGATCCATTCCGCTTCATCTCTTCATATAGCATGGTTAGATTATAATTGTTCAATAATATCTGATAAGCAAATCTTTAAGTAGAGGGTTTGGAAATTGTTTTCTATAATATCGCTGATGTAAGGATTCAGATCTCGTACTGACCGAAGATCCATGGTGGACATGTACTGAAGATTAGATCTGTGATAGACATAAGGCGTAAGAATAATACATGATAAACATTATGTTTCGAAAGCGTACATAAAATTTTTTAGTCAGTAAATTACTAAGTAAATTTACGATCTTCCAGTCTAATAGCTTGTGGCGGTAGATTCTGCGATTTATACATCACCTGGTTGTAGATTCGTTTTCAGCAGCATAATCATGTCTTGCTGTAATGGTGTCACACCACTAGTGACAAAGTAGTTTACAAACGCCAATGCTTATGAAGAACGCCTCTTACTGACTTAAAGAGACGAGATTAGCTATATTACCAAATAATTCAGTTCCAACAACCGAATACTATAGTCTATAGTATAATGTAGACGAGGCAGTCAGAGATTTACTACTATTTATTACTGAAGAAATCTTGACAACCAAGATTATAGTCTCGACAATTTAATAGCAATTGACAAACTAGTGGACTAACTAACCGACTAACTAACCGACTAACTAACTAAAAAAAGTGGTCTTCAGGCACCAGCCTTTTATAGTCTCGTCAGTATTTATGAGTACTGTAAGTCCAGCATGATGAGGTCCATTTACAATTTTAACATTCGTATATTACGGCCCCCGTTGAAACCTATCTTGACATTGCATTAACCTTCTACTGATAGAGCTGATTTTCTAGTTTAATAGTGCAATGTGCGATTTGCTTTCAAGGAATTCGTATGTAGATTATTGTCATTGAAAAACATATTCTAAGTATAACACTGTTGCAATTTTAATTTGGATATTCTAGATGGAAGGTTTTAAGATAGGCATATTTCTACGTATAATGTGCATCACTGGGGGAATTATGGTTGTAGGTTTGGCTACACGACGTCTAAAAGATTTGTCAAGTTTCCTTGGATTCCGCTTTATTGTGATGTTCATGTAATTACAGTGGAAGAACTTCATACCCCGCTGTTATAACAACTGTCGAGCATTATATAATTTATACATTCTACCTTGCATTTTGTATATTTTGTATATGGATTACAAGATTGAAAATCGATTACTGTCCAGGTGAGCCAATTCAACAATCAACCTGTCATGAGACTACTGTGGTATGGTAGTATTAATCACTAAATGGACTTAGGATCAATTTTATTATTGTATAATTAGACATAATAGTGCCAACGGTATTAATTAATATCTAGCTTTGTTCCGTTCTAATTTGAAAAGAATGATATCGATACGTCGATCATTTTTATTTTTATTATTGATTGAATTTTTAGATGAAAATAAGCATAAGTGGTAATCCTCTCGGGTAATTTTGATATCATATTTTTTCAGTAAAGTTCATGATGTGAAATTATTCACTTAAAACCTACAGAGGAATTATCTTATTTCAAAGAGTTTTGCATCGAATTGAAAATTAGGTTAAAATGGTCTGATAGTTCACGTCATTAGAGAGAAGTAATAAACTATGGACCACTGCATGGACTACTAGATGTAATTTAGTAGTCTTTTAATAGGCCATAGACTACTCGATGGCACCTGAACAGACAGACTTTTTCTGTCCAAAGAAGCCAAATAACGAAAAATTACTTACTTTGTATAATCTTCTGTACCTATTTTTCTTAATCACTTGTACTAATTTGAGAACATTCATGACTATATAGAACTGTTTTGAAGCAGAACTTAGTAAAATAGATCAGATTTCAATCTGATGTTACTTCATTAAAATAATAAGCGAATTGCAGAATCGAGGAAACGCCTAAGGACATTATAACAAACACAAGTGTTTGGAACTATATTTTACCGCATGATGCCGAAATATCCGACTAACCAAGGTAAGTTTCCTGTCCATGTAATTTATTAATCTGTGAATAGGCTTTGGTTATGGCATGACCAAATACTGTAAATACGACTAAGCACCTACTGTAGTACAAATTGTACCGATGAGCTATCAATTATCACTTCCGTCCATTTGCCAAAACGTTGTTCTGTTGGTGTATCGTCGATCTGCTCGGACACTTTGAAAACATTGATAAATAATGATCGATGTCTGCAATTATCACCATTTACAATTAGTAAATTGAATTCACAGAAAATGATTCTATCTTTTTAGTTGCTTCATTCTTAGGAAACGCATACTTTTATCCGATTGTACGAGTGCAAAATAGTAATGTGAATGTGAAAACTGGGATGGAATCTTGGATGCTGATTACTATCATTCTCAGTCACATTACCAAGTTTGAACGCATGGCGAAAATTTTTTACAATAACCCCATCGGCACCACTTGTAGCATAGTATACCATTTCATACCGCCATTTAATGCATATGCAAGCATATTCGGAAATAATTTCAAATAGGCATTGCCTCAATCGATCGATCTATGCACTCATTTTTACTCGTAGCAATTTATAGGTTATTATTTGCAATGTTAATTTCACATGCAATCGAGGAGAAAATAAGGTAGACTTCAATTCTTTGTAGATGCAATCAACAGAAGAATCAGCCCATTGATACGAGTAATGTGTTGAATAAAGTAAAGTATGGACAAATGACGGCCAAGTAACACAAATGAATATGTCGGAGTATCCTCAATCATGGTTCTTAATCGCCAAAACTGATCAACTATTCTCATAAAGTATTCAATGTCTTCAGCACGAATGCATCGTCTTCCTTTCGGACACTGTACATTACACTATTCAATTGATGAGCTGTTTTGGAATTTTCGCTAATACTTTTATTAAGATCGAAGGTAGCTATGTCTACTCATAACACTTACCAAAAGTCCGTGAACACTTTCAGCTATAGCTGTACAATAGGCTCGCTAATCTATCGTAATCAATGACTATCAATCATTCCTTGACCTTCAACTTAAATCTGTCGATCAATTATACAGTACACTTCTAATAGAAGCCCGTTGTGATAACTACTTGTATTTCATCAATCGCTGGCTATTTCATTTCAATCTATGAGAATTTACAAACTTATGTTAGTATCATAGCTGCAGAAAGACTTCATTAAGCATAACTAATTTTACTCAGTATTTTACAAGAAGAATTCATTTAATCGGTAATATAAGGTAAAGCTGCAATACTATCGAAAAATATAAACGAATAATTAATCGATAGTTTATTCAATCGTCCTAGTAAATTTAAAATATTTCAATTTATTTAAGAACCTAATAACTCTTGGCAAGTTGAGAATATTGTTAGGCTATTTTAACTTTATTACGGAGGTTTCTATTCTAAGTGAGTTCCAAGTGGGGTTTGCATCGATGTATTATAATGTAGAAATGATAATGTTGATAGTACCCGTATGTTCTATTAGTTTGGTACATTGATATTGAGATATTTAGTATTTATTTAGCTAGAAAGAAAATGCAATATCCAAATCAATCCTTAATTAGTGCTCCTTGTTAACAGCTGATGCGTAGGACTAGTGGTTTACTGGAATACAGAGAAACTATAATACGAAAGTATGTAAGATAAGTTTATGTAATCGAACGATGCTATCTATCTAGCAGATACTTAGCATGCAAGTTACTCAGTTATAAAATTAACTTTCAATTTCATTTTTTCTCTTAACATTTTTTATAAATCAGGTTTAATTTAAGTTATCATTTTTAATCACAGCATGATTTAATATGGTAAAGCTCGCGAAATAATACAAATTCATGGCAGAACAAACATGAAATTGTATTCTCTTTTTAGCAATATTTGCAGATACAGTTGTTGAAGAATCCGGTGACAAACTTATTGGCACAGAAAATTAAAATGGCGGAAAGCATTTAGTAGACCTCTGAGTAAAGAGGCTTTATTAGTGCTAGCAGCCCCTTCTTAAGTTGGTTATGATGAATTACCATTTCAAGCAGTACTTGTTAGATTTCTAGCTTAACAACTAATAAATGAAATACCGTTCAAACAAGTGATTTTCACGATTGATAATATTTGTATTTGATGAGGTAATATTATAAGAACAGGTAAACGATTATAATGACGTTATAAAAATGAAACGCGTAACAAAAAGATAAAATGGAGCAAATAACTCTTTGCCCTTTCCTCACAGACAAGAATTCAGCTTGATCAATAGATGAATTTTGCCATTTTCATTCAAGTAAAATTTCTCCCAATGTTTCTTTGCTAATGTATATGCTTGAAAAATGAATTGTTAGAACATTGTTCTTTTCCATGATGCATTTTCAAATTCTTTCTATTAAACAGCAATCCTTTTTACCCCTAGCAATAAATGAAGATTGTTGTACATTCCATTGTATATTTACTATTTGAAAGTGAGGGAATGGTAGATTGATTTGTTGCTGCAGCGTTTCAGCATCGTAAATGAACAGGATGGAAAGCCTCCAATTATATACAAGGAAATACTTGTTGGACCATAAATTTTCATTGTTGAAAAATGAGACACATAAATTAAACGTTACGCTATTTTCTTTATACAGCTTTGCTAATATCTCACCATCCCTATTTAGTACCTATGAGTGTACAATTTTAAGATTTTATTTTAGTACAGCATAGATAGAGGAATTGCATTTAAGATGATTGCAAATTTATAATTCTCTTACAGCCCTATGATTTCCATTTTCTAAAAGAAAGATTTCTTTCTCTTGCCGCTCAAACATTTTCTGAAATTAATTGAATGTAAAGTAAAGATAACTTATTGACAAGAACATAGCCCTCAATTTTTGTTTTTAATAATACAAGTACTCCTTCTAATCTAATTCATCATTTTATTTTGTTTATCTCAGGTAATAAACGTATACTTAAACTGCACTTACAATCACATTAGCATCCTCCTCTCTCCAACATTCATTTAGCTGCTCTCTCGGCATATTTAGCGTTGAGTGTTTAATCTGAGAATCGTAAGTCATTCCACTAGAACTCAAATTTATTTTACAGACTATTCCTTCCCAGTGATCGCATGGTATGACTTGCACTAGCTGTGTTTGATGTTTACTATCCCCAAATTTGTAACACTATAACAATTCGAAGTTGAAGACATTTAGTTATTAATTGTATCAATTTACATCTGTCAATTTCAGTTTTAATTTAAATATTTAAAAGTAAATTAGTTATTGATGTTTTCCATCAAGATTTAAAACACAATTCAAGCAAGAAATTGATTTTAATGGAAATAAAATTGTATTTTAATAGAATAAGCATATAAGATAATATCAATTACCTGAACGGAGTATGCATGATTACTTTCATAACCGTCCTTTTCTTTTTGCCAAGTATACAAATAAAAATCATCAGCATAAATCTGATTTAGATCCTGATATCGGTGATCCTGTTGATAAGCCATCTTCTCTCTAGTCTCAACGCTTATAGTTATTATCAACATGCCCCAACCATAGTTTTCATCCTAATGATGATTCAAAAATTTCTTTAGTCACCTTAGCTGTACTTTAATTTATCTCAATAACTTTGTATTCTAGCCAATATACAAGCAAAGTAATATCATATTCTTGAACTGTATTACGTACCCAAGATTTTATAATGCAAATGAGTGTCTTATCCACCTTTCTGAATCTTGTTTGTACAAAATAATAGTTAGGATATTCTTCTGGAAGAGCATAATCGAGCAATTCCTTATGTAGGCTACCATCGTCTCTTCCTAAAATACGATCTATCTGTAATCGATCAATACAGAAAATATCAATGACAATGAATCATTTAGCTAGGTATTAATATAACATAGTAGATTAATCACATATGCTGTCTACTATGTAACTTTTATAAGCGATAGGATTATACTTAATGTCGCAAATCAGCGTATCTTCTATTAATAATTTTTTTGCTACTGTGTATTACCCTTCTTATTTACCTTTGTCACCGTGATTCTGTGTTCCTCTTTCTTAATACATACAACGATGGCCGATTTTAAATCGTTATATAAGAAACAGCGCTCATTATGATTTTGTAGCGAATGATAAAACAATCTTGGAGAAGTCTCTGATTTATAATCAGATACCTACTCGTACGCGTATGAAGAAAGAGATCGCATCAGATATTCTTAAGTAAGAAATAAAATAATGCAATTAACTTTCCTTTTCGTAAAAATAAATGAACTGTTTTGCAGTAGATGCTTATAATTTACCTGTAGTTTGCACACATTATCAGCATCGTTAGTCAGCAGAGCTATGATTGGAATATTGTTAATGTAAGCCAAGCCTACATCTAAAATTTCTACGCTTGCTTTGGGATGATAAGTAAGTGCACCATGTTGAAGTGCTTTTGAATCGAGGTTTTGTTATCCATCAAGGTTATGGCGATAGATTGCATTGGTAATATCGTACATAAAAAAGATAGAGTATCAATGACTGAGGCTATCTTTCATTGAGAATCAAGATAATATTATGATACTTACCTTGTAAATTATATTCATAGATGCAGTGTTTCTCTTCATAATCGTAGACGAGCAATCGAGAACTACCAGGAATTAATGTTGCCTTGTTAAAGAATGATGGGTTTACTTTTTCATAAGATTGAACTTGATCACCTATTATCTTAAGTACGTGTACCTATGTCAAAATGGAATTATGAAGAACTAATGTTACCAAATAGGTGATAACGGAGTCAAAAGATGTTGATGAACATTATGAAGGATAAAATAAGTTATATATACGTAAAGGGATATTGAACTAACCTCTCGATAATAGTCAATACAGATAAATTGATGATCTGATACCAAAATATCCCGAACAAATTGAATATTAGGAAGTATTGGCTTGAATTGATGTGGAAATTCAATTAAGGAATGGTTAGAATGGCTATCATCTTTTCCTATTTTCAACAAACCAATTGGGCCTGGATATTGTCTACTACAATAAGCCAAAATTATGTACGCACTAGTATTGTTGATATAGTTGATATTTTTCAATGGCAAGCCATGTTCAACATCAGTGGTAGCAATATAATGATCAGTACTGCTACAGATAAAAGCAGGAACTTGATAAGAAAGCATTCGAGACCATGTTTGCAAATTCCACATCTAGATGTTATACATTCAATCAAAGCAAGCATTGGACATAAATTTTATTATTCCGTCTGGCCATATATCGTAGTATATTGCTATGAATTAATGGTTGTTTACTTCAATTTGACATTCATTTGTCCAGTTGTTCTCAACTTTAGGTTTATGGTTCTTGTCTTCATAATGATATTTTCTCCACCACAACAAGATTTGAAAACTACCTTGCACCAGTATCCATCGGCAATATTCTATCTTGTATTCACACGATATCCGTTTGTTGGTCGGCAGTATTTGGTGGCCTTTAATCTCCCAAATCTATCGCCATAGATCAGTGGAATAATCAATGGCATTCAATTTCATATACATTGTCATCTGTATCAATTTGGAACCTAATGCACTTTAACTACGTACCCTAAATTCATGACGATTGCGAGAGAGTGTCATAATGAATGAAGTTAAGTGTATGGAAGGGCAAAATTGTAAGGAATTGAAGTCAGTTTTAACATGGATTTCTTGATTGTGAGTGGTAAATACCATTTGTTCATTTTTATCAACATCATAAACGATCCATTTGCGCTAAAATAAAATCCATGAATGGAATGAGATAGATGATGATTGAATTTGCATTATTTTCTGTATTTATACAAGTAATACATTGCAATACTTTGATTTCATTAGAGCAACTTAATTAGTTAATGCAACAGCAGATCTATCCTTCCAATCTTTAAAGTGGATTATTACTGGCATTAAGTAAATGATCGCAGTTAATGACTAATCAATTTTAAGTTAGGTATTACAAGATGATAGAAATAATGAACTGAATTCATTTATACCTTAGCGGACGAATATTTATCTTTTATCCGTTATTAACAACGGCTTTTTTTATAATTTTACCAAATTATACTAAAATATCAATAGGCCACCTGATGTCTATAATAGTAGGCTGCAGTATGACCATCCGCTGAGATTTCGACATTTCGAATCCACTTATTTGGTGTCGATATTTGAAGTAGAACTTGCGATGTTTCATAGTCCTTAATCTTTTTAAGCAATATGTACTGTTATTAAGGCATTTCATTGCTTTTATTTTATAACATCTACATCCAAGCCAAATAGCAAAGTCATTGAACAGTTCTATATTCATCAATGTAGCACTTCTGGAGTAAATATTAGAAAGGCTTTAATTTATCAGTGGTATGATAAGCAATTTAACTAATTTACAAAATAGAATGCTGTCATTACAAGATATCTTTTCTCATCTGTTAATTAAATTTTACATGATTCGTTAATGTATTACTCATAAAATAATACAGTTTAGGAGCATCTAGTTATCAAGCTATAGGTTATTTAATCATGGGATGAATTGATTTAATTCAATCATTACATAAATGTAGTGTATTTAGTTTTCACGATAGTCTTTAGACATGTTTTTAAATATGGACATTTTGTTATGTTCCAAATATAGATACCTTTACAGTCTATTTCAACTATGCTCAAATATAGCTTGTCATGTTTAGTTATTTATAGTATCTACAGTCTTCTCTATTTTCTATAATCATTTACTATCATATAGTCTGTTTATGGTATATGATGTATCTAATTCTACAATCCTGTTCTCTGAAGGTGTTGTCTCTCTAAAACTATAAATATTGATGATTTCTGCCTCAGATTTGTTCAGTTGCACTTGTTAGTGTTAGTATCTGCACACGTTACTTCACGGCAGCTTATACGCAGATGTATCAATAACTACCACACTGTACGTAGTTATTATCTACAATAAATATCTCATTATTTTGATTACCCCTCGTATTATTATTGAGAAATGCCTAAGGAGTTCTGCAGACTCTTCGAACCCCCCCCCCCATTACAGTAAAAAACACATCGGATCTGATAATTCAATATAAGCAATCTAAATGATTTAAACATATTATTCGCTGTACTGGCATTAAAAGTAAAAAGTTGTTAGTTAAGAGAACATTACTACAGTGGGAAGAATAGTATACCATAATTTTGCAGTCCTCTCTTATGTTGTTTTCAGTGCCAATTATTCGTAAATGTCCAACGTTGTGATTGGAAACTGATATGTATTCATCATTATTATTCTTGCCGAATCCTTTACATGCTTCATAATAAGTAGATTGGATTGTTCTATTCGTCGAAATCTATGTCATAATCCAGTACATAATTATACAAATGAATGAGATAGTAATACAATTCATGTTAGAATTTGGGCTATAAACTCACGTTGATAAGTTCCAATACGGTAAATTACTAAATTCATTTTCCGTGTTATCTTTAGCTAATTGCAAAGCTCGCTCTCTCATCCAACTATCTGTTAAATCAGTGCACAAGATCCATTGCGTTACGTCTATTTTGCTTATATCCAGCCAAGCTTGATGCTTTTTGAGTAGCAACAGTAGTTGATTGAATTCTTTCCAGCTCTGAATCAATCAAAATTGTGAGTTAAAGATACAATTAATTGTTCGTAAAACTACATTATAATGAATGGAGTGTTTAAGAAAATCTCCGTACGACTGTCAATTAAATATTACTAGCCTGTCCAATTGAAAGTATTAATCACTTGACTAAAATAGCGTTTCATATTATTTTTAATATTGACTAAATATCAGAAAGTACCGTTTTATACATTTTATCGTCAATAAATAATTAATTAATGAGCAGCAGTACTGAAGAATTCGCCATAAATTAAGGTACATACAGTAGTAGTCAATAGGAAGCTCAACTGGTGTTAAAGATGACAGCTAAGACATATGCAAACAAATCTTCTACTGCAATCTGATGGCAAAAAGATCATTTTAAAAATACTTCCTAAAGTTTTTCACGGGATCCGCAAACATACCATTTGGTTTAATTATTTTAAACAAATGTGCGCTAAGCTTAAATACTATGGTAATTTGTGACTGTACGGAAAGTAGCTTAAAAATTGCAAAAATAAACATAATACTATTTGGCTACGTATTTCGTTAACTGGCATACATTTCCTAAAACCTTTAGGCCATTTATCATTTTCTACATACGCCTTATATACAGTAATCTGGAGTAAATAATGCGTGTATTTCTTATGCTAAATGAAGGCAATAGTTAATAGTATATTAGTACATTGATTTCAGCTAATTACACCAGTTATATGTTGGGGAATACAGTGATAGTACGTAGTGAGAACTGTGTATCCTAATTAAGTAGGGACTAACACTCATGCTCTACAATAACGAAATTTGAATATCTATAGTTTCATAATTTGATTACTGATACTTTTACAAGCTGTCGAATCAGCAAGAATAATGTGGGCATATTATTAGTAATGTAATGGAATTAATCAGTAATAGATACCATAACGTGACACTCTGTACCTCTTTTCTCGCTTTTAGATAGTTGACATAATCTGTTAAATCGCAAATTAGGTTATAGATTGTCTGGTCTGATTTTATTTTGCATGTCATCCAATTGAAATCAGTCAAGATATTTTGAAGATGTTCATTATTTTCGGCTAGGATAGCATGATAAATTAGATTTTGATAGAAATAGCCGTCATCAGCCAAGGTATTCCACCTTCCTTCACATCGGTTACTGTAGCCATCCATCAGTTTGTTATTGAGTATTTTGTGATAGTCTTGTTTCAATGTCTGTAAGTAGATTTGTTGCTGAAGAAAGTCGACTATTAAGTCATGTACGACACAGTAACCTCTAGATGAATTAAAAATTCAATTCGATTAATATTTAAAATGTAAGTACAGTATACGGATTGTTGCTCTGCTTACAATCCGTAGAAACGCTTTCAATACACAGTATTCCAAAATAAAGTAAGTTGAATGACGCTAGTGAGAATATTCGATATTCGATGTAATCCGCCGCAAAATATTTATTGATTTAAATATTACTATTATTGAAGTAGATATTTAATAATTTATGTAATGGAGAAATTTGGATAAGGGTATTTGGCTATACTGTATAATAGTAATGTGCAAGATCAAGTGAAGACAACGATTTTAATGATATAAAAACGGATCTAAGTATTGGTAAATACCTTAACATTTATACAACTTCTAGATGACGACGAGCTATGTAATAGATATACATTTACTTATCGAAATACTAAATACTTCAAGACCTATTATAACTTATTTAACTTATTACACTCATTAAGAAAATAAATTATGTGTGAATATCACAATCCCTGATAACCGTACAACAATTAATACTATTCCTATTCCCGAACAAAGTCTATTCATCAACAGTCTGCTATTTCGAACTTACTTGCTTTCTTTCACGTATTTCAATAAAGATTTGTTATTCAGTTCCATTAAGATATCGTCAGCGTCTTGTTCATCGCAATTCCACAATGACGCAATCGATTGAATAGGAATACGCACTCGCTTAAAAACAGATAGAGATTCGAGGAGTTTTCTTTCTTTTTCATCCAAAACATCAAAACTTAATTTGAATGTACCATATAAATTGAAATCGTAATTAGCTAATTTAATCTTTCCTGATTTCCTGGAAATGATAGCCTTTGCCTCGCTCCATTCCTTGTCAGTTTGCAAACGACAGCCGCCAATTAAGCTGATCGCTAATGGTAGACCTGCACAACTATCTATAACTTTCTTGACAAGTGGATTACGGCGCAATATTTGATCATCCTGATCGTGGCGAAGTAATGCTATTAAGTTTATTGCTTCATCGTATGTTAGCCGTTCCTTTTTATACAAAAGAGAAATTACATTTAATATTACTTTCTCGAAAATATCTGCAAACACGTATTAGATAGTGAAATCCTGCAGTGAAGTAACAATGGGGTTTTCTTGTAACCTAAATTATTTTTATTACACATAGGATCATTTTAAGTAACGCATTTAAAATTAAATTATGTTTATCAAGTTAGAAGGCTAGAGCATCATTGAAGTAAATAATGTAAATAATGCAATTACGAGTCCTGGAAACGATTTGGCAATTTTACAATTCGAGTACATAAATATGGATACAACTGCTTCTATTCCAAGTATTAATACCCAGTACTAGTCAGCCATTTGTTCTTATATTCGCATACTAAACATTCTGTAGCAAAAATCAAATGGAAGCATTAAAGTCAAAGACATACCAGCAAACGGATGCAGCGATGGCTAAGTTCATTTTCATAAAATAAAAATCTTGAAGTAGCAATAGACTTTTTAGCGAAGGATAAATATTTATAATGATCCTTCTTCCAAATATCATCGAAAATAAAGAGTGTATCCGACAATTTGCTATTTCCTAAAAGCCAATCATAAAATGATTAATGTTGCAGTCTAACTCTATATAAATATATTTGCCAGTTAAAACCGGTAAAACAACGACCTTGTAGGTAGTTTCTGAGATAGGCACATAAATCTGCAACTGACTGAACAGACTTATTCCACTCTATACCAAGATCATGACTTAATATCTTAAGTTGATCGAATAATGCAACATTTGATACATTTCCTAGGCAGAAATGAATACAATTAATGCAAAACTTGGTGAAGGTCAGGCATAAAATTAAAATTTATCATTAATTATAAGATATTCTTGCTGCAATGCAATCTTTCGATATTTATATGTATAGCAAAAGCTGCACATTTAATTTCAATTTTATCAGAAAAATTTATTTTTCCAGAGAAGATAACATGAATATGATGAAATTAATACACGTATAAGCGAGCGGGATAGAATATGAATACTTTTATACCAAATTAAAGTGCAAATAAGATCATTAAGTTTCAATTTTTTGCAACCTACCGATCTTCATCCAATAACAACCGTTTGTATTAAAATACCCCATATCAGCTGCTCGTGTTACGGACTGGCAAACAGTAACAGTTTTGCCACTGCCTGCCATGCCATATATTAAAATATGACCAGATGATTCGTGGATGATCTTTAATTGATCGCAAATACTATTTACTAAGTTCTTTCTTATAATAAAGTGACAGCTTGGGGTTGAAGGGAGATTGCGGAGTGGAATTTCTGATGAGCAAAGAAATACAACGTTAGCAGAGTAATTTTGTTGCATAACAGGCAAAATATTGAAATTTGGCATGTTTGTACCGTTTTAAACATAGTAAATCATTTAAGTTTTCTGACCGCTATCAGAAATATAAATATCAATGTCCTTACTGTATTTTAAAAGTCATAGGACTGCATTGACTAACTTTAACTCTTTTGCATTAAATAATGGTGAACGATATCGTTTATAGCAAATACTACATATTTTTTGTTAATAACTAAAGAGGCTATGTCATCTTGGAATATATATTTTGCACAGTCAAATGAATTATTATAAATTAAGTCTAATATGTAAAGTAACATTTAGTATGGAAGTAAGTCTTACTGATAATACGATATTATACAAAGTTTCTGAAAAGAGCTTACCGGAAGTCTCGGTTTCGCCAAATAATATAGACCTTATTATACTGAAGGGATGAAATATCACATTTTCTTGTTGTAATACAAAAAGAAAATTTCTTTATTCATGATATAAGTTACAAGTAGAGTAGCAAACTTTTATCAGCTCTATATATTTCGAGTAAATCTTACTACCTAGTTCAGATAGGTTTTCGCTATTAGCTTCAGTTGCTTGATTTGTGCTTGTAGCATGTCCTAAATTGTGTTACGGAGAATAGAATTTAAAACACGGCTCTAAGTTACTTTAATCATGCTTAAATTAAACTACTGCCTTATTGCACATTAACCCAAATATTTATTACTGAACATTGATACGCTATACTGATATTTTCAGAATTAGATAAGTAAAATAGCAAAATTGAAGATTTATTGTTATTAAATAAATCTCCTGAAGAATTTTCCAATCCAGCATAAAATTATTCTAAATTTCAACGATAAAAGTAATATACGAGATCTAATTCATCTACAGTATAGTGTAATGATTTCAGCTAATTACAGTAGCTATGTATTAGGATAACATAGTGATATTGATAATAATTAATTGTTCCTGATTGCTCGTTGTCAACAAGATTGGATTAGCTACATTGTCAAATTTATTTATATTTGCTAAATATTCTAAATAAGTAGATGATGCGTTGATTCGCAAACTATTTTGTAAATAGATGGTCTTACCATGTGGTTTCGAAGTACTTGCTTCTTTCTCCAATTTTCTACCAAGATTTTGAACATTTCTAACTTGATTGTCTTTTAGTACGCTGCAAAATCGAAAAAAGTCATCATCGCTTCTTGTCTTTAATATTTTGATGAATTGGAAAACTCTTTCTTTGTTATTGAGGCAGTGATCTTTGAGTGTTTCGACTTCTTCATCACACAATAATCTTATACTTCTGAGATCGTAAATGAAGTTTACCAATTGAATATCACTAATTATTAGCGAATATTCTGCCTCGATGACCTTTATAATATGGTTGCTTAAAACCATTTTATGGAATGCTATTCAATTTCGATTCAGGAAATAATGTCTAAGAAAAATTTAATGCAAGACTTTCAAAAAGTATATACGAGTAAATATATATACAATACACCGGGTATTAAAAAGCTAAGGAAAGTAAATATCAAATAAATTTTATAATTATCTATTACTAGTATCCGATGAATAATGATTTTAGGCTACAATGATTGCTTATAATATTTCGCCTTTAAATGATAAATTTTAATTCATATAAACTTAAATATAATTGATGAGATATTTCCTATATCAGAAATCGCTATTCTTAGTGTATCAGCTCTGCTAGTAGCTAACTGCTGACAGTAAATCTCATCACAACATTCTCTTTGCGTAACCTCATCTATCTTAAAAATGAAGATACTAGTAATCTATGCCATGCAACAACTAATTTTGACATCGTATAATACATCATTGATTTCGTACGCCCTCTTTTTGCAGCACCTGCTATAATTCGCGGAATGGATTTTAATCTTGTATTATACTCGTAATTTAGTTAATAGTTATAGCAGAGTAGAGAAGGGAAGCTAATTTATTCTACTGATAGAGCATTCGTCTATTTTCTATTTGTTTACCATAGATATCCTTGCTTTTACTTATTTGTCTTATCTATGATCATATAACATAAGTAATTACCCGTATATCTATCCTTACAGCATCTTATGCTACGGTAAGTGGACCAAAATTATTTTAACTAAAGGAAATTAGCTTTCTTCAAGAGCTTTCTGAATTTCTGCAACCAAGTCTGCCAAAGCTTTATTTGTGTGAAACTTTATCGTATTTACGGTACGATAACTCCCAGTTTGTTGGCTCTTCCTGTTTCTAACCAATAGACAGACGAATTAATGTAATGGTAAACTTCTATTTTTATCATTAGTACTTCATTTTGCGATGGAACTTTCTTGATGAATAATGAAAGATTAATTCGGATAGTTATCTCTATAGATATAAAGTAGGATATAAGGAAAGAGTCATTACTTGGCACTGCTTTTTATCAGTCAATACAATTTTTAGCTATGTACGGCACTCATTTAATGCTAATTTATTTACAAAGAAAATGGACTTTTGATTTAATGCCAATTTAATACAGTAAAGAAAAAAATTTAACATATTAATTGGTCCATTTGCAGAACCGGAAGTTTGATATGATTTTGTTTTAATTCAAAGTAATATTCTATTTAAAGTCTGAAACCTTATAGTCGTCACGAATCAAGCTAGTAATTGAGATACCTAACATATTCCTTGAGTCAGGCATAGTAGTAAACACACTCATAACAGAGGTAAAAGTTATATTTTAGTTGTAACTCAACTTAACGCAGTTAGAATCATTTCTAGTGATTATTAGGAGAACTTTTGCAGTAAAGATCACATTAGTTGTAGCGATACGAAAAAGTCATGATTTCGTAGCGGCTACTGCTGAACCATCTTAAGTTAATCTTCCATTAATTATTCGAAATTTATCCTTCATTTCCTCTAGACCGTCTATGATGCATTCTATACCGATATTTCTCATATCCACTATAAATTATCGAATACTAGCATGTACGCTAATGTACTATTATAACCTGACTGCAGCTTAAATCGTATTCTAACCTATAAAAATTAGCGGGTATTCTTGAAGTCTTTCCAGTAAATTGTAATAAAATTGGAGGCAATTTAGTACTTATCTATCAGATCTTAGTTTAGAAAATGTAATCGCAACCATTATAGATGAAGAAGTACTTGGAAGCCGGTCCTTAATGAGAACTGAATTGAACTTAAGTCTGCATAGCTGTAAGCCATGAAGGAATCTGCCCTACTGTACGAGTAATGTGTTGTACAAATCAAAATTTTGGTAAAAGATGACAAATTAGCTGAAATAAATACGAGAAAATATCTCAATATCTTCAATTAAAATACTAAACCGACGGTCCATACTTTTACCATATTACTAGTATATATAATCGCATATGCTAGGATATTCCAACATATCATCTTCAATTCAATTGCAGATATTATGATGGATCTGTTCAGTTTTGAAAATTCTGCTAATGCTTTTATCATGATTAAACTAGTCTATGATAACTTTTGATGATATTAATATATAATTAAAACAGATCATGCAATTATTATCTGCATACAGTAGCATAACGATGATTTATTGATTGTTAAGATTAAAGATCTAGAATGCTCATCAACAAATATTTATCATCATATTTGAGCTTGTCACGGTACGAACTACCGTGAAGAAATAGCTATCTAAATTTGGTGAATATAATATAGTGATAATATATTACAACTAGTTACATACAATAGGAATTACTCTAATCATAAATGTATTACAGTAAATTTAATGCTGTGCTGTAATGTGCACTGAAATGATTCTGTGAATGGGCGTATTGAAATCCGACGGTGAAAAATTAGTTAGTAGATGTTCTCACCTAAGTATTTTTATAAGATGACTCATGAATGTTAGCTGCTGTAGAAGGGTATATAAGCCCGTCAGATAGTCGAATAAAGTAGTTCTCAATTGTCTAGTTGAGTTTAACGTAGAATCAAAGGCGTCTAAATTCTTGTGAGATAGTTAAGGGATACTGAATCCCGGAGACTATAGTAATTTAGAGATTTGTTTTACGTTATCTTTGTTACGAAGCTAGTTTGTGACTGAGCTTCAATTCAATTCTAAAGAAATTTTAGAAGATCGATCTTGAACTTGCCAGCCCAGAAATATAATAAGTTATGAAGCAAGAAAACAATTCGCTACCAAGAAGCCTAAATAAAGGGCCTAAAATATTTGCTGTATTCGATAATTATAATAATTAATTACTAAATCAATGATATCTAACCAATAGCAAATCATTCAATCAGTTTTTGGATATTGTAAAGTTGCAAGACGATGATCTGTTTCAGTTTTTGCATAGAGTAGCATGAAGATCATTTATTTAGAGTCTAGATTTGAGATCTAGAAAGCTAATTAACGAATAAATTGTCATTCATCTTTGAGCTCTAATCCAGTTCTATAGCAATGCAATAAAAAGTGATCAAAAATTTGCCAGGATGGAAAGCGAAAATGACGGAAAGAACGTAAATGATCTACTACCAAGTAGTGCTAGTAAACACCTTGAAATAGTCGCTGTGTTCATCGTCAATTCTATCCTTTCCCTTACCTTCCTTTCTTATAAAAACTGTTGCTTAAATATGCTGAATTCGTTTTTCAATTTTCCTTACTGAAATCTGCGTTGATAAAATCTCTATTGGTAATGCAGCGTGAAAAATCGATGAATACTCAAGGCCTAAGCCAGCTATCCGCAAATTAGGTTACGTTCTGTTTTGAACTTCCCTTCCAATCTATAGCAGGTAACATAACTAGGGGATTAATACATAGTCGCCTTCATATAACCAGATTACCATCGGGCATTTTGTATTGCCAGATGACAGTATTACTACTCTGAATGGAACATACAGGGCTCATATTTTGTTTAAAAGTAAATCATCATTTACTGACTAAGATCATCAAGTTTTAACTCTATCTTGATAATTATTGTAATAACTACCGGCAGTCTAGTCATATTAAAATTTGAAATAAATATGGAGTGAAAAAAGAAACGGAATATAGAATATATAATCAGATCTCTTAAAGATGTGATGCACATCATATACATATCCTAAAATTTATTATGAAACGAAGCTTTAGCTAATCTTGCTTTATTCGCAATATTCGTACAAGTTAATTTTAATCGCAAGTATTATAAAAATTTAAAACTATACACGGGCGTCTTGGAAAAAAGAAGTAACCTGCTATTCGCATATTAATTATAAAGAATGTGAGAGGTTAATCGCTGTCGGTCAGTGTTAGTAAAACATCAACAATATATAAGTAAACCGGCTGAGTATAGTGACTATTCATTTCGAATGCATATCTCTGCTAATATGAAATATTCAAGAAATATCGTAGGGAATGCTAGATAACTTGGCTCCCTTCAAATTGAATTTGCTTTATGTTGTACGGGTAGTAGACATACTGCTGATATATTGTTGGCATGTTACTATTTGCTAGAATTATTGTAGATAGCTTCAATCATTTCCAAGAATAATGAAGATGTCTACGCTATTACATAGATGTGAATATATGACAATTAAGTAAAATTATTTCAGGATCAATATTTGGTTAATAACTACGACAACATTTGAAATTAAAGGAGGCAGAAACTAGAATGAGAATTTAAAGAATTTTATCTTGTGCGTCTTTCACTGACATCGAGAAAATGCTGGTAATAAGCCAAGATCTATCGGTTGGAAAATTCAAAGAAACATAAGGAAAGTAAGATCACTTTTCATTCTTTATCTACCTGATTTAACTTAAAAAAAATAAGACAGCTTTCGTCTTTCATCGCCTTATCTTAACTTTGCATTGCGATAGGCATTCAACTAATGAAATATTGCTACTGCGATATAGAGTACTATCATTTCAATTAACTTGCAATCATGCTGTTATTTTTGTACTGTACTACTGACAATTTGTACATGATACTGAACAAATAATCTAGTGATAATTACGAGCATTATATTAATTAAATCGACCCGCTCCAACTCGATGTGAAGTCAAGGCTTTCAAGATTGGAAATAAGTGATATTAACCCATCCATTATGACCTCCATTGATTAAATTAATTTAATAGACAGACGGTACGATCAATTTTTTTCTTAGATTCTCTACAACTATTTCTTTCCAATTATTCGGAATGAAGCAGGGCTTATTACGGATCGTGTTAATAAAATTTTTACGGCCGTACATTATTACTCCAAGAAGATAGACAACCTTTACTGTATTAACTTAAGTACTAGTATCTTTAGCTCGTTATAGAACGAAATTAGACAATCACCCTCTTTTCCTAAGCAAGTAAAATTAGTACATACTTGTTGAATATCGGAATTTGTCATGAGGAAACGTTAAAACTATTATAGAAATTGCAACGCAAGTCTACTGTCAGGTTTGTCCTCCCTGACATTAACCTACAGTACGACTCTAAATACTGACGATCTCCTATCATCAGGAGGACCAGTAACAGCGCTACTCTCTCTTAGACATAACTAAACCCAAGCTTTATTGAAAAGTCAGTCAATTTATAGTGAATCGATATCAATGTTATTTATTAGTTTATAGATAATGTCATAAAATTATGCAGTTATCTATTAAGAATTTGTAAAACGTCATGGATAGCGGTACATAAATACACTCCTATAATGATTATCTTACGGAATCTATGTTACTACGACAGCTACTTAAAAGTTACTCCGTAATACTCCTTCATACGAATAATGCGATACCTTTTAGAAGCTTTTATCTATACTGATATAATAGATATCTTTCCTTTTAGATCTAAATAAAATATCCATTGATTTAACATGGCATTTAAACTATAACTTCAGTAAAGGCAAGACTTACTGCAATTAAACCAACTGAGTTATCTTTTTAAGCTACAATATTATGATGCAAAACTTGAAGGAGAATTCTAACATTAATCTGCATTACAACACGGACAACAGGAATCTAAACACATTAATCCAACTTGTCTCGTAGATTAAATTATCGCATACTACGTGTATAGCCTAATTGGTCTTACATAGCATATTTTTTAGTCCATTCTTTGGCTAACTCATTGAACTTTGGACGATCAGTTTTGAAGATACGAGCGATCTCTGGTACTAACGGATCGTCAGGATTTGGCGTAGAAAGCAAAGAACAGATGCTCGAAAGTACTAGACCACGTATAATAAAGGTTAGTCCTAAACGGGCCTTATCAACGAGTAGATCTTTGAATATAAGTACTCTTACCAATAGATACATTTAATTCTGGATTCCACTGTGAACGAAGGATATCTAAGCATATACTTCCATTGCTGTTTATATTTGGGTGATATATTCTCGTGACGAAGGTAACCTACGGTATATATGGAATCAGTTAGCTACGATGCATTTCACAACCGAGTAATTTACATTGTCAACATAAAAGGCATACTTTGAGAGGCTTAAACGGATAATCCGGTGGAAACTGGATAGTTAAAAAGAAAACGCCCCCTTGGTACGGGGTGTCTGTCTAAGGGGTTTAGAGTTTTAGAATACATTGAGTTAAGAAATAATTTTAAGAAGAATAAAACAGATTTTTTAACTTACAGGTCCCATTATAGTGCTTTGCCACTTAAACACTATTTATATCAAAATTGAATAAAGCCTTTAAAATAAACTTTATACTATGATTAGTTCAATTTTGCATTTTATGAATCCTAGTAGTAACTTACTATCTTTAGTATCAACTGGCCCGGCAGAGCACTGAGCTGGTGGTTCACGACCCAAATCTTGCAGTTCCTAGCGAAGTAAATCACAACCATGCTATTAGGATTGCTGTTACTTTATATTTCGTAACAAATATACAGAAATTTTCAAATAGAAAATATCTAGTCAATATTGTATACTGAAGGAAGTGAATCGGGTATAATATCATAAAATTGCCAAAAAACATCCTGATCTCTTTTACGCATTTCTCAATATCAAAGTATCATTGGAAAATAATAGAATTATATCTATTCTTACGCGATACCATTACATTATTTAATTTTTAGATTACAGCATAATGCTATCGCCCACAATTGAACTAGAAGTTGATATTTTATAACCCATTTTCGTTCAATTCTGGCCAAACTAAAATTAAAGGGAGGAGGGTAGAGTTATTACAGTATGACATACGCGAACCAAAATATATTTCAATAGGCCATCGCAATATCTGGGATGATCCCTATTTTAAGCCTATCTTCTGTAAAGGGAGTTAATTAAGGCTGATAACCTATATTAATGCAACTTTTAACTCACAATAATATCGTTATACTGTTTAGTCTTGGATTTTGGCTAGCCAAGTCAGTGGCATACCCATAGCCTAGAAATACGGGAACTCAGGTATCGTATAATGCAACCACTATACAGCACTATACACAAACTCTTAATATAATATTATATAGATTAATGTTGGCATCGATGTACCATGTAAGTTATTAATGAAATTAGCCCAATAGTGCGATAATTTACTTACTTTAGTGATTCTTTTCAACGCCATAGTCGCAGAATATGTTTACCAGCAGTTTCTTAGGATTAGAGCTCTTCACGATTCTGTATTCATGAAATTTGAGCCAACGTCTCTGATGACAACCTATAAAGTACGATGGTATCAGTTGAAGTAATAAGTCAGGTAATTGTCAGAAATTACTCGCTACAATTCCGCAAGGACAGGAAACGACTTTTCCGCTACAAAAATATGACGGCCAATTATTTTTCTGGTCATTTTAATTTTATACAGCGCGTTAGGAATTGTACATTATACAATAGGGGTTCCCTCTCTTTTTCTTTACCATTCCCCTTGAGGATCATTCCCTAGGGGCTCTTGAACTTAATAGTAAAAGAGACTTCTCTTTCTTTGTAGTACTTATTATGTTTCCTGGCAGATCCTTCATTCTTTGTACTAGTAAAGTTCCCGTTTCAAATAAACACGTATTTATTCTACTCAAAGAAAGTCGTTAAAAGGAAATTCACAGCTAGATTATTTCTTATTACAGTATATATGCTTACTACGTAGCTGTTTAAGCGAACATTCATTTGTTATTAATATAGGATTAGCAGCGGGTCACGTTCTTTTTATTTTATGGCAACAATTCGCAAGTATGTTATTGAATAAGGAAAATTAGAGACTACTTAGAAAGAGAGTCGCAAGGTTTATCATTTTTTTCAACGTGATAAATCGTAGCTTATCCTAAAAGAAACTCTGTATTTATGTTTTTTCTAATTGGAAAAGAAAACCGTGATTACAATACGGCACTGGAGATATTAGGAAATCGTTTTATAAATGATTGCGAGAGATTTCCGTTGTATTTTATACTTTCAGTCTTCCCTCTCAGAGTTATTAATTTCGATTTTTGACTGGATACCTTATAATCTTTGATATTCAAGCTTGGGAGGGGATGATGTAGATAGTATCAAAAGATTAAAACTATTTTTTAATTATCATGTCATTGTAGCAAGCATGTGATGGCTTAGCCATGGTATAGCCAGCAAATGTAGTACTAAAACTTTTTTTGCTTGAGATTAAGCAATACGGTTTTGTTTATTCTTGTCGAGGCCATTACTAAACTTTAGATCGAAGCAATGTAATTACTGCACTTTTACAGTTACGATTTATTAATAGTTAAGCTTACAATGGAATAGTAACAATTTAAATACATAACAGTTGTTCTTCAATTTATAAGAATGAATCAGAAATAGGTACGATTAGTCCTATTAAAGATGTTTATGTTAATTTATCATTATTTGTAGCCAAATGATATATTTAGAGTAGGAATATCGCTTTATGCCATCTGTCTAGCATTTTCTAAAGTAAATTTAATTCAATACGGAAAAAATTAATGGCGAAAATGGAGCTCTTAACATTGTCAATCATTATGATAATCATCCTCCTTACCACTAAAGCCGTAGTTTTATTTTATAGATGTCGAGCAACAAATGTTATCGCCACTTGCATTGACATCGATAGCTGTATTGGCATCATTCTCTTCCCGCATTTTAATTTACTGGCTTATGTACTTTTGAAATGGTGAATGTTTAATCAAAGCCTAGTAATGATGTACTAATAATACCAATGTTAATAATTCTACTTCGACATTGTAGGTATAAGCATGATATTTGCACTATTATTAGCACCTCCAATTCTTACCTGACTAGTTTATATGAGTGTAATAACTTACAATTTTAAAATCTTTATTTTACAAATAGCGAAATAGAGCACTATTTTATTACAAAATGACTACTTGTAAAATTTACAGTATCATAATTTAGTGTACGAGATCAATCATGATAATTTAGTATTACGGAGCAAATATTAATAGTGTAAATTCTTCGTTTATGGTCAGTTTTAAGGTGCAGTAGCAAACGAGGTTTCACTACCGTACAATAACTAACTGTGTACCTTTTAGAAGGGTAGTTCTTAAGGAATTTAGCTATGATAGTTAATATTCTATCTAGATCTTAGAGCTGATTTGTTAATAATCTGTGAAGGCAATAAAATTATAGATGCTTCAAATTGATCTACAAAATTGTTAGGAAGTAGTCTGCCACACCAATAATTAATTATAATATAAATTTACTTATCCAAAAAGCAATAGTACAACAGGTGCTATTGTAATAATAATTATGCAAGACAGTTTACTAGACTGAAGATAACTAGATAGCACCTAGTAATTTTAGTAAATGAGTTATTTATGCTATTAAGTAGGGGTTTAACAGAAATCAAAATCCATGCTATATTGTTTTCTTCGATCTTCTTATCTTCATTTTTTTAACCAAATTGAAACACTATCCGAATATAGAAGCTATAATATATGATTTACAACAATACCATTGCAGACATAACAGTATAATGTTGTAATAATGTTCTTGATAAGGCATGCTAATGGATGCAGGTAATGTTCAAGCACAAATATAACCAGTATCGATGAAACAAACTTTATTCGCTTCTGAAAACTCCAAATACTGCATATTCTTTCATCAAAAGGAGACGGACGGAAAGTAGTTGAAGCTGCTATCATGCAAGCTGTAAACTATACAGTATCTACCGTCAGCAGTGATAACGGAAGCTGGTCAAGCTTCGTACAGTAGGTACACGAATGTTTAATATACATTACTGGTTAGCATGAGAAAAGCAAGAGTATATACTGCGACCAATGATTACGGAAGCTGGTTATACTTGTTACGCTAGGCGTATAAGCATTTAATGTATTTTACTAATTAATATTGGAAGAACTTGAGCTACATCTTGTCCATTTCGTTGTTTGAGTTTTGCATGATATCGATTTTAGATTCTCGTATTAACAGTGCTGTTGAAGACTACATTAGTTATTATGATCACATGTAACATACTTCCTCTAGGATACTTCCGTACCGAAATAGAACTAAAAGTTATGAGGATTCTTTATTTATTTATGCCGTTTTCGAAGTGTGATGTGCCATATACTTTAAGACGTTACTCACTTGAATCCTTTAAAATTTTGAGCTATGTCAACGTTAACAAACTATAATCAGGAAACTATAACATCAGTAGGCTAGATGCGCGTATAAGCTGTAAAACAACGAAAGCTTTATAACCCAAATTTTAGCATATTGAGAATAGACATTGAATTTATTTTTCTAGCTAATTCTTACCGTAAGTATTGGCATTCTAAGTCACCTATAAATACTAAGTAAATTCTTGTGTGTTCGATCTTTAAAGTTAGAAGTAAGACAGATTTTTCTATCTCATGCCTCGTTAGTTACAATGGTTGTAGCATTAATAATTCTGCTTACTTTAGGATATCGTGATTTATAACTGAACTATTAGAGACATCGAAATACACATTTTAAAGATTTCCTTAGTAGTGTATATCGATTTTTTACTAGAATATTTAAAGGCCTGGCAATAATAAAAGTAAGAAAGGCTTTTTAAAATATGTATTTAGCAATTTCATTTGCTTCAATAAACTTGTCATTTGATGCTTAATCTATGATAAATTATAATATAAGATATTCTCTTCCAGGCAGTTAGGAATATTAAACCAGAATATCTTGCGTACATGTAAAGTATTCATTAAAAGTAATCATGATCGGCTACATTACGAGCCATATTATATATACTGGACGCTTTTATTAGCTTTAATCTGAGGCTGTGCAAGAAAATATTAAGTATGCAAGAATTTTCAATCAAAGAGGCTTCTGAGCCATTGAATCATTCTTTTAGAAATAGAGAAAAACCTGTTGTTTTGTTCTTCTGCAGACTCAGCCAAAATTAATAGTTTTCTTACAACCTCTGTATCATTTGTTACTATTCAAAATAATTAGATCATAAATTCCTAACATATTCAAGAAGAAAATTTGATCAACTCTTTCAACTCACCACGACACATTTCTATAACTTGCTTTTGCTTATCTACGTGTTTCTTATGTCTTTTAGCATGGCATTCTGTTTTTGAAAGCAGTATGGTAAGCTCCAACTTTCAAACATATTAATCAATAACGTCTACATATTAGAAGACAAACTATCACTTCAAAATTAATGGGCTGTCATACAGTATTCCACAGAGTATTACACTTTGATCAAATCTAACGATTAAGTAATTGTTGATATTAAATTTCATTGCAAGACTTTATCGAAAACGCTAAATAATCTTAATCATGCATCTCACGCAGGCTAATGTCACATAGCCTTAGTTTATTTTTATACTGTACGGTACAATAGATTAGGAAAGTGCAAAATCTGCTATGCTAATCGAGCGAAGGAAATAAATTTTTGGCTGATAATTGAAAATATTAAAATAATTTTACTTCGTCATTCCAATGCTACCGTTGTAGAAAATAGGCTCAGTAGCATCTTATAAGGAATCAGATCTTACATTAACCGTGGGTGAATTATTTACTGCATCAGCTCTATAGTGATCGCCTTTTGCCAATATATAATATTTAAAAAATACAAGATTTGCCTACGCTGTCCTTATTACTAATATCGCTTAGGCTTACAGGTCGAACTTGTAAAAGTTTACTGAAAATTCATATCTAAAATTAATTTTATTTCATTCAACTCCTATAGTGAGTAAAGAAACTATTCAATTTAAAGGCATTTCCTTAATACCAAAAATTATCGTTGGCATGAAGCTAGCGTAAAAGAAGATTTGCTCACTACTAATTGCAACTTACTACTCACGAAGATGAGAAGCACGATTTAGAACAATTTCTACTTGCAGGATGAACAAAATTAATTAAGAACCTGGAAACGTAAGTAATTAACCTGCTTTTTCCAGTCATATTTCTTAGTATCCTTTTCATTGGATACTGACAGCCAATCTTCAACTCTTTCCACTGAACAGAAGAAATTTATATACATCTTTATCGATGATAATTTCAAAGATTCAAGCAAATTCTTATCTTGCGACGGAAAAGTCAAATTACCCGCAGATCTATCTGTATAAACTTCTGAAAGCGATTTTAACTGAGCTTGCAATCTTTCAATTTCACCGCCTTTAATGCTGACATCCATCTATTAACAGTATCGCAAAAACTAACATTGCTTTGGATTTATTTGGTTCGTAAACTAGTAAGTACGTCTAATCGCCTGTAAAACCTTTAATTGTGCTTTCTCCTCCATTTCTTTATTTAGTTGCTGTGGACCAAAAAAGTTAGTTTTATTACCTAGAAATTGCCGATACATTATGAGAAACTATTTGCTAAATTAGATATTGATGACTTACTTTCTTCAATTTGGATACCTCTGCTTGAAGCTTTGCTACCATCTTACTATAATTTTTGATTTCCTGATATATATTATATTTGCGGTCATTACTTTTCATTCGATTTAAGTGCGATAGAATAGCGCAAAAGTCTACAAAAAATTTAACCCTTTCTTGACTCATTTTCAGTTTTCTACGTACTTTATCTCCTTGTTTAGAATGCTGCTTCTCTTTATCCTTTGATCCATTTGGTAACTTACAATTTAATGTTTCAACTAACTTGTTAACAGCCTAAAATTTAATACTGGTTGTTGAAAAAATTACAACAGAGGAGAATATGATTTATCCAAGACTCACTTGGGTTTTTAATAATTGTTCTGCTGAAAGTGATTCGCGTAATTTTTCTATCTGTTTCGACAAAATAGCATTCTCTTCGCTATCCTCTACGAATCTTACCTCTGTATTAATAAAACATCATTACTCGAATTCGCAAGAGTTGGGAATTGCTATATGGCATGTAGCTTGTATTTTTACCTGCTTTCAGCTGTGTTATTCGTAACGCCATTTCATACTTATCGTTCTTTAATTGATTGATAGTCAAGTGAGCCTTGTTTAACTTTTCTTCCACCTATGCAAAGTACAATAATGAAATTTGTTGTTACAAGTAGTTTAACTTACAATACCATCAATGATCATTGCAAACATAATATTTCCCACCGCTTCTATTACAGTTACTTTTATTGATAATTCTTCAATATGCTTTGATTTAATTTCTTCAATTTCTAATTCTAGCAAAGATTTTTCTTTCTCTGCGCTTGCATGCTGTTTTCTAATTGAGGATGACACTGATTGCAGGGAATCTACTTTGGCTAGTACTTTTTCCAAATAAGATGATAAGAAATCCCTAAAAGTGAATATTAGAATACGTTTGTTAAAATCTGATTATTCATAACGATAAAGATTGGGTCTTTCTATGTCTATTACCGGTTCCCGATACCTTTCTTCCTGCAGCTGACAAATTTTATTTTCCAAAGTATTATATTGCTTTGTGTAATCTTTAGCTAGTTGCTTAAGTTCCATCAGCTCTGCTTCAGAGCAAGTCTATAAAATTCGTAAGTGTAAGCAAGAGCCGGGTGTTAGGTTGCACGAATTTATTCTATTGTACTCGGAGATTGCAATAGGACTTAGCTATTATTGTTCAATTCGGAAAATACACTCACAGAAATATCTTTTTCTACTGATCTGATTTCAGATGTCATCCAAATTAATAATTATATCAGGCGTAATTCTATCAATGATGAAACAGACAAGTATAAGCTTGGTAATTATAAATGGATTTGATTGCCGTTACTGATTAAGTTTAGCTATTACACATGAAATATAGAAACTAAGTCATAAAACTATTTCTGACTCAGTGCCTCTTAATCTGGAAAATAGATCTTGCTTTCTTTCGAATATCAAATCAATATGGTATCCAGCCTTGGTATAAAGATGGAAGCAATCTAGTATAAACATTTAAATCTCTCACTTTTGATATTAGTAGGCCATAGTTACTTTTTAACGCAGTCTAGATATTGTAATTAGATACAGTTAAAATCCTGCAATTATTATACTTATTTCTTCTATTATATCTTTACTACATCATCAAATAAATTAGTAACAATTAACTTATTTTAATATGGAATAACCTAGTATCAAATAGCTGATGCAATCATTGAGCAGCAATAATATTACGTTAAATCTAAATAGTATGTTAATGTAAATAGGATTAAAATGAGAATTTTTAGCATAATACTCCCATTATATAATGTACTCGTATTTAGTACATTAAAGATATATCTCATTGAATACGCCTTGTAGGAGTGCAGTATAATCTCTACGTGCATAAGAAAATTTCGTCTTCTAATCGAAATTCAAGTTTTAAATGCCAAAAATTTTACATGCAGCAGTAAAATGTTCAATATTTTCTTCTTTTATAACCGTGACTCAATAGACAAAGGAACAAATGAAACTATAACTTCATTTTAAAAATGTGGATGAATCATTGAAAGAAATATCTTAAAATCTAGCACAATCTTGTTGGGTATGAATATAAACTCTAAAAGTATTACAACAAATGTTTTGGCTAATAAAGCGCTCTAAAAGGTTTGTTTCTAAGAAAATTCTGCGTAATTAGTACCTATGGATTCTAGCTAATTAATTGATTGGCTATAAGAATATATCCAGTGTACTTGGCCGATCCTGGCATCAGACACTTGTGGTGTACCTATCAAAGAATGCAATTTCTTTACTTACCTTGTAAAATATCTCGCATAGGTGGAATAAAAATCCCCCCAAAAAAGGAAAAATAATTTTCGGTTCCTATATGATTAGCGTTGGTGCACTCGTAACATCACGTCCACTTATATGCAGTAATAACACAAAGCAATCATAAGTTCAATGAAACTGAAGAGGTCAATTTACTAAGGGATCAATGGAAGCTACTATAAGCATGTCAAGCAATAACGCTGCGTGAATGCTAGAGCTACAATTAATTATGATCGACTCAACGTAGTATAAGATCAGTTGGGGGTCGATAATGAAGGTAATTTCAGATGACAAAACAGCCGAGAAAATTTCCCTTGAAAGTACTATAAACTTGGCCATTATTTAATTTTTCACATGCTGCAAGTAGCCAGTATCATTATTTAACGGCAAGATGAAATATCTTTAGCAGTTATCATCTGAAAAATTATCTATGATTGAAATCATCCAATATGAACATGTGATGACAGTCTTGAAATCTCTAGTTAAAATGATTTAATGCTAAAATTAGTCAGACTCTAAGTAGTAAACGATCTGAGCTAGCGAAGTAGCCTGTAAATAGTAATCGTTAAGATAGAAGCCTTAATCTATTTCCTCACCATTTGCCTAATTTTTAATATCATTGTCTTGCTTTAATTATATTATGTGAATAAATAGGACTGGCTTTTATTAATGAATTTATGAGATAATTTTATTATTCGATTACAATAGCAAAGTTTTCTAATAGATGGATATTATCAATACTTATCACAGCTTAAATAATAATTTTTAACGCAAATACTTTATGGTATCTTTCTGGGCTCATCGTTATTGAAAGAATAAGAAATTTCATTGAAATCTTACTTTGCTTTTAAGAAGAAGCACTGTAATAATAACTTAGATGAAATGCTTCAATTCGATCTTGATAGGTAAATTAATATATCTATTCCTGAGAAAACAATATCGAAGGTTGCAAAAAAGACTTCTAACATAACGTCCGTTAGTATTATTTTACAATGCTTAACCATACGAGAAATTTTTATTCTAGTAAAGTCTTAAATCACTTCTAAATATTAGTTTTGCCTATACTAAATCGAATCTGAGTAGAATTAGATGATCTATTCATCGCAATAAATGGATACATTGATATTATGATCATTAGTCAGTTCCGCGATATAAATGAAGTTGAGCGCAATCTATTAATTCAATTCTTAAAAAAAATGGATATGAGGCTGTCTATGCATACTAAAGAGCACTGACTGGCAGCACTTCAACAAAATCGCATCAGTTTACTGATCTTTCTGAAATGCTGATTATTACCACCACTTCAAGTCTAGGGCATGTAAGAAAGAAAGTCCTTTTCTCTTTTATTAAAGTATCAAAAGTCTCTGGCCAAGTTGTCAACTTGGCGTGTGATGCGATAGAGTTCCAACAGCAACAAGAAGCCGAGTCTCATCATTACATGCAATACTGTATAGTGCAGTATATCTAGTGTACGTTCTATCTACATATACTGTACAGTATAGTGAGTGTACATTTACTTCTAATATGCAGTAATGTGCTGTATACTGAAACGTCTCCCTCTTCAGTGCACGGTGGTCCAAAATGACTGTTTATAACTTCAGAAGGATAATTTTATTTTATGTGCACCAGGAATCCTGACGAGACTATAAAAAGACTGGTACCTGAAGACCACCTTTTAGTTAATTAGTCGGTTAGTTAGTCAACTAGTTTGTCAATTGCTATTAAATTGCCAAGACTATAATCTTGTTTATTAAGATTTCTTCAGTAATAAATAGTAGTAAATCTCTGACTATCTCGTCTACATCATACTATAGTATTCAGTCGTTGGAATTGAGTTATATGGTGATATAGCTAATCTTGTCTCTTTAAATCTTAAAAAGGCGCTCTTCATAATCATTGGTGTGTGTAGACTACTTTGTCACTAGTGGTGTGTGACAGCAAGACTTAAGTATATATATTTTGTTATATACTCTCAGGGTACAGTGTAGTCACAGAGACTGCAATATGTCTTTCTACTTATAGACTGAGACGAGAGAGCTGCTTCAGAGAAGAGAATTTTATTAGTCTAAGTCCGTCAGGTACTAGAGAGAGAGATATACGTACCGCTATACTGATTAGTAGATAAGTGAGCAATAATATTACAGAGACTACTTTACTTCTTTTTCCTAGTTTTCACACTAAATACTTTAATTGTAATTCATACTATACTATAAATTTCATAGTATATTTCTGCCCAAAACTAGTCCCTTACTCTATAGAAACATTAGTTACGCTTTATAATTAGCAATCCTGTCTTTCCTTCCGTCTCTTCTGATTTTTCATCAAAATTCGTTTTTTAATTATCTATCTATTTATATAGAGAGAGAGATTACATATATATTATATATATCAACTGTATATCTATATCTATATACAGTACTATATATGAAAATTATTATGTCCGTTATTTGTTTGTGTACTTGTGTATCGGCTATCTCTCGCATCTAATTGGTTGGCTGTTTGAAAGCACACTATATTCTTATATAATTATAATAAGCTGTAATATACTATATGTGTTATACTGTACAGTATGTATACCATAAGTAAAAATAAATTTTAAGAAAGAAATCAGAGGAGGTGACTATAAATTACAATTCAATGATTTAGCGTGAAAACTATGAAAAAAGAAGTTAGTCCTTACCTCCCTGGTAGTTAGTGTACAGTAGGGCATCTGTCTGTTTTAGGCAGAAATATATAGTACCATAAACTTAAAATTCAATTTAGCGTGAAAACTATGAAAACAGAAGTTAGTCCTTACCTCCCTGGTAGTTGCCCACTGCAGAAAGCACACTAGGGCGTCTGTCTGTCTGCATATAGAGCGGTATCTGGGACCCCAAAAGTACTCTACACAGAGTATAGTACTATACTGAATTTAGTAGTGTAAAGGCTAATTTGCCGCCACTGTAGTCCAGACTATCACACTTATCAAATCGTTGGCAACTGCGAGTACGAAAGCTTTCTTATGTTGATTGCCTATATGAAATTGGATAAGGATGGAAATTGTCAATGCCACTATACCTGATGATTTAGATGAAATTCGTTGTTTATTCCGAGAATATCGAAAGTTTGTTGATGTTGATACATGCTGCAAGGGATTTCAACAGGTACTTAGAAATCTACCAGGGAAATACGCACCTCCTCAAGGAAGGCTTCTGCTGGCATTGGACCAAGGAAACGTTGCTGGATGTGTGGGACTCAGAGAAGTGGAACCTGGCATTTGTGAAATGAAACATCTCTATGTCAGACCAAAATTTCAGGGGAAAAAATTTGGTAGAGCTTTAGCTGAAACAGTTATTCAAGAAGCTCGGAATATTGGTTACACACGGATGAGATTAGACACTCTGAAAGAGTTGAAAGCAGCCCTATCTCTTTATAAATCATTAGATTTTAAGCAAGTCCACCCTGACATCAACGAGGACAACTCGCTTTCCAAAGCGGTTTGCTTAGAGCTTGACTTAGCATAATAACATATCTCAAACGAATAAGAGACTGGAACCTTATCACTGCCAATTGAGTGAATTTGCAACTACAGCTATAGTCCAGAAGGCTGTGGATTTTAAATTCTGCACGTTGTAAACCACGATCAAGTACATTAATAACGTTGATTGTTATCATCGCTTAACATATGGTGTGATATACAGTTTTATTGCTATCTAGTCGCTTATTGTACTGTATATTTCGAATTGAACTTGGCTAAATGGAGATAGCATAAACAAATTCTTTTGAAAAGTGGAACACCTAAACTGATTACAAGGTCACTTTTTATTAGCAATATTACATAGCTAAAAATACTGCGATGAACAGACTACAACATGTTCAAATAAGATTGCTTTAGAAGCATACAACAGCCTTTAAAATGCAACCTATGGACTGTATGTCCAATCGTCTTTTTAAGGTAATCTTTGTCGCTGAACATTTTGGATACATGTTTAGTTCATTACTACTATACGGTAGACTCAGTATTTGAATAACTTTGTTCGCGTTATTGTACAGTATAGGATATTATTTGTCGTGTTTATGATCGGGCTCCGTGTCATAGCCTATTCTATTTCCCATATATCCTTGTTAAGTATAAAAATGCAGTTCCATCATTCTAAAGTTAATGGCTAGGAGAGAGAGATTGATCGAAAATAAAACTATTTCGACCTCCTGTCAAAATAACGACTGTAGAGCTATTCTTTATTACAGGCTTAGATTGACAACGGACTTGTGTTCTATAATCGCATGTTAGCCAGGAAAGGAAAATGTTGAGGCAAAAAAGTTATTTTGCAAGGCATACTTCAGGCAATACACTACTTTAAAATGCTTAGTCGGTCTCTACGAATACTCGTATTCTATATTTATTCCCAATATCTATTAGTAAAACTGGCATTTTTGTATAGCTATCAAGCCAAGTTACATTTTTATTGTACTACAGCAGGAAATTGGCCAACTAGACGAAAGTAAGGTACTACTGATATAAATGGAATATGTCTCCAAATTAATTATTTAAAATTTGTAAATGTGTAAAGTTTCCATATAAACACAACTATTTGAATGGAGGTTGCTCGCTGGTCTTTGTTGAAAGTATTGCATATTCTTGCAGACTATTTTATTCTTTACATATTTTAATTATACTCAAAGTCGGTATTTCATAAAATATCCGACAATTATTAAGGTGCATACTGTATAATTTTTAATTGCTAAAGTCATTGATCTGGAACATTACGTAATTCAACATAATTCGTGAAATATACGGTATCAGCCTTCAATTAATTAGAAACAGTCATGAAATATTATACAGGCTCGCTTTGCAGTCTACATTACAGATCTGCAAACCCTAACTGCTTTATCGCATGTTTACTGCTAATATATACGAGTGCACTGTATGATCCGTTGATGGTCTATAATAGATTACTAGTAGTTTGGCATCATTTTTTCTTTCTTACAATATAATGACTACTTAGACTTAGTAAAAGATTTTGAAGTCAATTTGAAATAAAATAATTTTTGAAATAAATTTGGATTGTCGCAAAGGCTTTGTTCCAGCACATAATACTATAATGAAGTTTTCCGCTTCTATCTAGTAGTATCCAACTATTAACGACAAAGGTTTAAATGTAAGGTAAAAGAGCTTGATTGGAAACTTTATTATGATGTAATAGTGATAAAATTTCCTTTAAATGTTGAGAATCAAAAGAGGTTCTCGATTCAGACTAAACTGAATTCATATCTGTTGAGAACATGCTTCGACGACCTAAAACATTAACTCAAAAAAATGTCTTGTTTTCATAACTTGTGGTCATCCTTAATCCGCTATGGTACTAAATGTCGACTTATGGCATATTGCTATCGCGTCGCGATGGGATAAAAATGAAAGACAATTACTTCACTGCAATCAGAATTAATTCATGCCGGTGTTATGGCAACTATATTAGTGCAGAATTGGTTCTGCTAGACCAGTTAGGCCACTAGAGCCAGCATGGAAGTATAAAGTCAAACGGTAATTTAGCACTTTAAGATGATCATGATTCGATGAGTGCGAGTAAATTGATTGTTGACGATAGTCGATCATCGCGTCATGTAGAAAGCAGGAGCTGAATATCAAACTGAATAAATTTAAATTACCTTAATACTGAGCCATGGAATTTAGTACTCGAATTTTGAGTAATTGGTTTCATACGCTGTTTATACTATGCTACAAAAAAAAATAGAATAAATCATTTCCTGCATCCTGTGTTTTAATGATACGAGAGCATTGATAGGAATATGCTTGGATTATTCAATTTTTTCTTACAGCTCAGCCTTGGATTATTTCTCTCGAGTTTACTATGCAAATGTAAAGCGCAATACTTTCATTGGTTTCCACCAATTAAACGGCTAACAATTGCTTTAGTCACACTGTGCCATAATCTATTGAACAACTTTATAGAGTGAACTCTACTGAATACAGCTATTTAAGCTACTAGTTGAATTAGTCAATACCGAGAAACCTTAGTAGTATAATTATGTGATATAAATGAGATACACAGATCAACTTATTAATGAAGACCAATCCTATCGAAATTATGGACTTCACCTCGAATTTTGTTGGTCAGTAGTAATATTTCGTAGCAAATAACGTACATTACTTCATTTCTTAACAAATTAGGAGTGACATTAACTAACTATAGCTTATACGTAATTACCTATCTATTTGTATATTAAGAAACTTGGAATTCTACGCTTTATGGAGTTCCTATTTAATCTAAAGAAGCCAAACGCCGTTTGCGATGTTAAACAAATAGGCCTTCACTTATTGTTTGTATTATAGGCGTACGAAATTACCGGTTTTTATTCAGTAGCAGCTACTTGCTTTAATATTAATTTTAGAATAGCATAGGAGATTCATCTCTGAGAAATCACTATTATAATAAGACCTCAAAAAGCATCCTGTATTGGATAAGAATTCTAGATCACTTTTGTTTCTGCTTCGTATGTACGTTCAGACTGATGTATACCAATATTAGCAGAAAATACCAAGATAATTTCATCCTACTGTATACCCTAGCTACTATCTCCCCTTGTTCTAGACCTTATCAAGGCTCGATTATTGACTTGCGAGTAAATTTTTAAATTCAGGTTCAAAGATAAGTACAGAATTGCCATTTCTTTTCGCCCTAATACAATCGCCTATTAGCTCACTCTTTTCTATTTAATGCTATGTCCTTTATACAGCACAGGAATTAGTTCTAATGGCCATATTGACTTGCTCAAATGGGTATATGGCTAACACTCATACTCTGACCGACTGTCCTTGAACAAAATAGCACCAGCTGACTCATCTATCTGACGTATTCCATGCTAACAACGCCTCAAGTCAGTTGCATGTAACAGAAAAGTGCTTCTCTCTTACTTTTATCAAAAACTCCTAGCTAAGTCCTCAACGAGGCGTTGCTTGAAGGCATTACTACGGCAACATGTTGATCGTGTTTTGTCTCTGTGTTATTGTCTAGACTGTCTCTACCTATCAGAGAGCTTACATACCGAATAGCCTATGGTTAGGAACCACATGTTGAGTTAATATTTGTTTACTTCATGCTCTAGCTACAACATTGAGGTTATAAATTGCAGGAATTTCATCATTATAACGCATGTATGAAGAAAAAATAATAGCCATGTTTACAATGTATTGTACTATAAAATGCTATACAATAGTTTTGTACAGTATAGTCTGTGTACACTGCTCAGTAAAGGTGTATGCTTAGAGGTCAAGTAAGCTTAGTATGGTACTTAGTGCTTACTTTCTAGTATTGCTTGATATAGTAAAGACTCTGAAAAGAAAGAGAGAAGAACTATTCTGTTGCATGTCTCTGACTTAAGGCATTGTTAGTATTGAATATTTCAGATAGATGAGTGAACTCTTTCGTTCAATACTATACAATCAAATACTCTGTGAATCAGTAGAAGAAAACACTGAGATAGTGGCAACTGTGCGATATAGCTCCTCTATTAAATTTGGATTAGGATGAATATTATTCACGCTACAACACTCAATGACTTCAGTGAGATCGTCTGTTTATTCCAAGAATTCAGGGATTTCGCCAATATTGATGGATGCCGCTTGGAAATGGCAGAGGAAATTAAAGTTGAATCTCTACCAGGGATATATGCACCTCCTAAAGGAAGACTGTTCTTGGTTTCCGATGATGGGAACGCTGCGGGATGTGTTGGACTGGCAGAATTGGAACCTGGTATTTGTGAATTGAAGCATCTATATGTACGATCGAAATTTCAAGGGAAAAAACTAGGAAGAAAATTAGTTGAAACAGCTATTCAGGAAGCACGAAGTATTGGTTACACACAGATGAGACTGAGTACTCGAGAAATGTTGAAAGCAGCCATATCCCTTTACAAATCGCTAGGTTTTAAGCAAACCCGCCGCTATATTTACCAGCACGATCCTGTTATTGAATTCGTTGACTTAGAACTGGACTTAACGCAATGATTCAATCCAGCCAATCAGATACTAGAATTGTAATGATGTTGTGTTATTGTGTAGGTTGTAATACTGTTGTCCATATTATCGAGCTAATAATAACATGTACAAATATGGTCATTTAACGAGCTAATAAGAACATGTACAAATATGGTCATGTTGGTAGAACAAAGGATGTTCCTGGTTAAGTTTCGTAGGGAGCCACAGTAATAGTAGAATTTCGTTCTTCTACTGAGTCTAGTAAGTAGTTAAGGTAATGTTATAGAGATTGTCTTTCGTACTTGAGATTATAGCCTGCAGTTGAAGACTGTTGTAACGAGAATTCCGTAATAAAATGTTTTAAACCGAATTATCTGCGATTAGAATTATTGCAGAGTTAGAAAGAGCTGATTCGTTACCGAAATCTCATCATTATAGCGCATGTGTTAACGCCTTTCTAATTCGTCATGAATTCTATGACAATTGCCTATCGAAAACCGCCGGCTATATCTCTTACGGTAGACCAATTGCCGATATGCTACTGTTGCTGGCTCAAATAGTAAATTTACCTAGAGATACAAGGGTATGTAACAGAATTGGCAAACGCTGCTTTAAATTCCAAGGTAAGCCAATTGCCGATATGCTACTATTCCTGGTCTTCAAATAGTAGATTTACCTAGTAATACAAGAATATTTACTAGAATTGGCGAACGCTGTTGTAACTTCCATTAGACCAATTGTCATTATGCTATTATTTCTGCTAAAGATATGCAGCTGAATTGGCAAACGTTGCTGTAACATCTGGGGTAGACCAATTGCCAATGTGTTACTATTGCTGATCTTCAAATGAGAGGTTTACCTAGTAATGCAAAGATATGCTACAGAATTGGTGAACGCTTCTTTAGTGATATTTGAGAGGTGAAATGAATTTGCATTAAACGTTACATTAAATATTGTCTACAACTTAATATGAAATACAAGGAGATTGAAATTCTACTATAGATATGTCACGCACCACTAGTGACAAAGTAAGTCTACACACGCCAACGCTAATGAAAAACGCCTTTTACTGACTTGAAGTGACGAGATTAGCTATATCACCAAATAGATCAGTTCCAACAAACGAATACTACACTATAGTTATAGTTATAGCGTCACTGATAGTACAGTATGGACGAGGTAGTCAGAGAATTGCTACTATTTATTACTGAAGAAATCTTGACAATCAAGATTATAGCCTTGACAATTCAATAGCAATTGACGGGAACTAGTTGACTAACTAACTAACTAAAAAGTGGTTTTTAGTCATTAGTTTCCAATCAGTTTAATATCGATGGCTATTTCTTCAGCTTAATTATCCATTCTTTATTGTACTAGTTTTTGTTAGTCCATAGTTTTCTTACAGTACTTATCCAACAGTATGTAAATAGAAAGAAGTAATAAAGAATTGTAATCTCTAAATAGGACATAGCAGCATTTGCGATGATCTCTAAACCAATTTTCTATATTATCGATCTTCGATTAACTTTGGAGACTGATGACAAGATGACTAACTTACGAATATTTCTTGATAAAGTGGCAAGCAGAAATAGTAAGTTTAGAGTTAATTACTTTCTATTCACTAGTCTATCATGATATCATTGACTTCTATCCAGCATTTATCGTTGTGAAAATGAAGTTTTCGTGCTATCATCCATTTAGCATGGTTGTTGAGTTCTGGTTTCCATTTGTTAGCTTGAAGATAAAACGTAGTGAAATGATTACGAAACATCATATCGCTGAATATATCTATCATGTCTCCCATCATTAGCATTACCCCCATGCAACTATAACTTATACAGTACGATGCAATTATAATGTTGATTCAAAATTATTTACTTCATTCATTTGGGAAATCATGATTGAAAGGAAACGTACAGTATTCAGCTTGAAGGTGTCCAAAAATGTCTATCCGTCTGTTTTCTACAGTACTTGAACATCAAAATCACCCACTTTTGCGTATATACTGTAGATTTCCATACTGCTTCGTTTCTAGTACAGTATTCCTTGATACAGTACGGTACACACTGTACAGTACAATGAAAAAATATGTAAACACTGCAGTACAGTACTATAGAAAACGCTCAGAATTATCATGGCTGAGATATTTGCAAGTGCATCTTTTTAAGCTTCTTAAGTTTTTTTTTTATCAAATTTGGATAAGAATGGAAATTATTCACGCTACAACACCCAAAGACTTTAGTGAGATCGTTTGTTTATTCCAAGAATTTAGGGACTTAGCTAATTTTAAGGAATGCCGCTCGGAATTGGCAGAGGAAATTGAAACTCTACCAGGGATATGCACTTCCTAAAGGACGACTGCTGTTGGTTTTACATGATGGGAACGCTGCAGGATGTGTTGGACTGGCAGAATTGAAACCTGGCGTGTGTGAAATGAAGCATCTATATGTAAGACCGAAATTTCAAGGGAAAAAACTGGGAAGAAAACTAGTTGAAACAATTATTCAAGAAGCACAGAGCATTGGTTACTCACGGATGAGACTGGGCACTCTAGAAATGTTAAAAGCAGCAATGTCCATTTATAAATCATGCGGTTTTAAGGAAATCCGCCGCTATATTTACCAATACGATCCGTGCATTGAAATAATTGACTTAGAACTGGACTTAATACAATGACTCAATCCAGCCAATAAGCTACTGGAACCTCATCTTCATAGCGCATGTGTTAACCCCTTTCTAATTCATCATTAATTCTAGCCAAACGGCCGGCTTCTTAACTTTGCCGAGTGGTTGCTACCTTCAGCACCATATTTTAACGATTACTCCTGTAAAGACAATTCTACTCTCGTCTCGAGAAGATTTAATTATACTTGTAATATTTCTAAAATTTGTAATGGCCATAATTAAAGGATTAATTCCTAGTAAAATTGCGCTAGAAGTATATAAGTATCGCTAATTGATAACTTTTCCCATAGACCTAATTTTTATGGAGGTAAAATCTTTTTCACTTTCCTTCAAATTTTGTATAATAAGAAATATCAATGCTTTTAACGTAGATTAATTTTATAATATTATTACCTTAGTTTTTATCTATGAATCGATAGATTAATTAATCATAGCAATAACAAGAACACTAACACAATATATTCGTTTGCTGCTTCAAAGGCTTCTTTTACTAGTCCACGGCTATACTTACGGTAACATAACAAACTAAGAAATCATTTTTTTATCGTTTTTATTTGTAAGAAGAGTTTCGTAGCTGTAACACATAGCTGGACTATTTTATGTACTTAATTTTGATAAAAAATTTTAAAATAATCAGCTTATATCATTACTTTTAAGTTAAAAGGGTCATTCGATGTCAATGATCTTTAAAATTAGTTACATATATTCTAGAGGTCTAAGGTAGTGTTCGCTTGATTTTCTAACATTTGGCCAATATTGCTGATACCTTCAACTTTGCAATCTTTAAGTACGAAACATAACTTGGAGAAACTCAACATCGTTTATCGTTCGCAGTATTCGAATAAACTCGAATATCTCCTCACTATTACGATGATAATTCTTTGTGATCCATTCCGCTTCATCTCTTCATATAGCATAGTTAGATTATAATTGTTTAATAATATCTGATAAGCAAATCTTTAAGTAGAGGGTTTGGAGATTGTTTTCTATAACATCGCTGATGCATGGATACAGATCTCGTATTGACCGAAGATCCATGGTGGACATGTACTGAAGATTAGATCTGTGATAGATATAAGGCGTAAGAATAATACATGATAAACATTATGTTTCGAAAGCGTACATAAAATTTTTTAGTCAGTAAATTACTAAGTAAAATTGCAATCTTTCAGTCTAAAAGCTTGTCACACACCACTAGTGACAAAGTAGTATACATACGCCAATGCTTATAAAGAACGCCTCTTACATACTTAAAGAGACCAGATTAGCTATATTACCAAATAATTCAGTTCCAACAACCGAATAATATAGTCTATAGTATAATGTAGACGAGGTAGTCAGAGATTTACTACTATTTATTACTGAAGAAATCTTGACAACCAAGATTATAGTCTCCACAATTTAATAGCAATTGACAAACTAGTGTACTAACTAACCGACTAACTAACTAAAAAGCGGTCTTCAGGCGCCAGCCTTTTATAGTCTCGTCAGAAACTCCTAGTGCACATAAAGTAAAATTATCCTTCTAAAGTTATAGGAATTAATATGAATATCGCCATTGAAGATTTCATATAAGATAATTAATTAATAACCTCTATTATTAAAAACTAATAATAAATTAATAAAAGGCCGTTATTGATAACCATGTAAACTTAAGTTTCATATACTAATATGATGGTTTTTGACAACCTACTGTAAACATACAGCAGACAGAAGGGCCTAGCTGATAGCCATGTACCATAAAGTTTAGTTGTATGTGTACTAATATGATTCTTATTGTCAACTCCTGTCCAAGGTACTGAAAGGAGTGTTTGATTGTGTTTTGAATATAAGTTACATGAATTTTTTTAGAGTCTTAAGTGGACGATCTAGTTAATCTCTTTTTATCCGTTTTCAATTGCTGTCGTGAAGAAAAGAAAAGCGGATCCTACTTTGATAAACGGCCTATTGATAAATGATATATTTTAAGGTTAAAAGCGGTATTGTCCTATATGTGCCACATTAGAAATTTGCTCATTTTAATAACTAGAATTTCGAGTTAGTGGTATTGCTCTTGCCAATGAATTCGCAATACTACAGCCAAATTTTCTGTCGTGGAATATATTAATAGCTTGTGTGTTTAATTAAATTGCCATAACAAATTCTTCAATATTCTAATTTATGCATATAGACATTGTATAATTATGCATTGTACATATGGACTAAATTTCGATAATCTCAGAATCATAATATAAGCATCACCATAACAGCAATTTCTAGGGTGCATCAATCTTATCCTTTAATCGACGCTTGTGCAATATCACAATCCGTATACAAACGTAGGAAAACTAGATTACGTTGAGCCCCGGGTAAATAAGATAGTCAAGATAGTAGGTTAGCGGTATTTGAGGCACCCTATTAGGTGTTATAGGCCTAGCGGATTATTAGTGGATAGTACTAAGGATGTTAGTTGCATGGTTAAGAGGGACTGCATGGCGCCTAGATAAGCGGCACTGGCATGTCTCAGTAAATAAGGTATGATTGGCCCAAAGCAAGGGATGACAATCGTACGTAGCTTGGGATCTTGCATTTGCAAGAGCCATATTAAATATTAATTAGAATAAGGCGTAATATAGGGAAGTTAAAATAAGATATTACTTGAATTGACTTAAATAGGGTTTGGGTAAACATTTTTATCAATAATCCTTCCTAGAAATGTATAAAAGGCCCACTCCTTGGAGTGGGAGAGGAGTCGACAGCCTTGAGCTAGTTGTGTGTGTAATTGCTTTAACTTAATTTCTACTACTGTAATATTCAACAATAATATTTTAAATAATAAATTATTTTTAACCGCTACGTGGAGGACTAGATTTCCTTGTGTGACTAGATCCTGTTGGGTTGGAAGTAGTACTTATTACAATAACTTACCCTAGAGACTCTAAAAGTTACATAATCTCATTTCATGACTTGAATCTGAAGCCGGTTTAACCTACGATATATTATCTCTATTCCTATTTGAATGTTATTTAGACTTGTAATATGTGACACTCCTCTCTTTGCTTCTTTGTTCTAATAGAAAGTAATCCTAAGTGATTACTCTTGATTTATAGTCTGCAATATCACAGATCTTA